GCGGTTTACCGGCTGGAGGAGCAGGAGGGGTGGCCATCCTTAGTTTCACCGCAGGAGTAGTCTTCAAAGATGTTCACACGCACGATTCAGGAAGACTGGTTGCTGTGACGGTTACCAGAGGGGACCTATCTTGGAGGATCCTGGCAGCCTACCTTCCAGCACAAGCGACGAACAGGAGTGTATTCTTCAGAGACTGCCTACCTGACTTCATCAGTGAACTGCAGCCAGTTGACCACACGGTGCTCATCGGCGATTTGAATGTGATAGCGGACCCGAGAATCGATAAGACGTCAAAAGTGGGGTCGTCGAGAGAGAATCAACGGCTCTTAGACCTGTTTACGCCGCTGGACTTACAAGACGCTTTTCGTACCTTGCATCCGACGAAGAGGGAGTACACCTTCTACGCTCCCTCGGTGAAGGAGAAGTCCCGCATCGACAGAGCGTTGGTGTCACAGTCGCTCCTTAGCAAAGTTGGTAATGCGTATCACTCGTCGATCCCACATGGCCTCTCTGACCACTGGTATGCGGTTTCGCTGGAGTTGTGTGTGGAAACAGGCGATGGAAGGGGTCCAGGACTGTGGAGGATGCACGCTGCACAAGCGAGAAAACCGGGGGTCAGGAAACGGATTGAAGTAGTTCTCGGCGACCAGGCGAACCAGGAAGCTCAAGAGTTCCCGGCGCTGCTGGTTAAGCTGCAGGCGAGCATTCGAGCGTACTCGCGGGAGGAGCGGAAAAGGATCAATAAGACTATGGCGCGACTGGAAGAACAAGTAGCGCGGCTGAAAGAGGAGTTCATGAACGGCTCAGGAGGGGCGGACTGCTATGAACAGATGACCAAATATGGTTCGATGCTCAAGTCATATCAAGAGAGAGAGCGTGCAAGGCTGCAGACTATGGCGGGGGTTCAGAAGGAGGTGCTAGGCGAGGTTCCTTCACCTGTTTTGTCGGGGCGGATAGCAACGAAGAAAGCGCAAACTGTGATTGAGGAGGTCTCTTTCAACGACACGAGCTACGCAGGAGAGAGGGAAGTACTCACGGCTGCCTCCGCATACTTCACTGAAGTTTTCGCTGAACAACGTACGGATGACGTCTCGCCTTGGCCGGTTGACCCATGCAAAGTGCTTAGCGGGCGAGATCGGGATATGCTGCGAGCGCCTTGGACTGAGGAGGAGGTGCGGAAGGCGATAAAGCAACTGCCAAAAGGGAAAGCGCCGGGCCTGGATGGACTCCCCAAGGAAATCTTTGAGGAGAACTGGGACATCTTGGGGCCCAGTTTCATGAGCTTCGTACGGGACTTTGAGCGCTCGGCGCGTCTTCCGTCTCAGCTTACGACAGCCGTTACGATTCTCCTGCAAAAAAAAGGGGACAAGGCAAGGTTAGAAAACTACAGGCCTATTACTCTCTTGAGTGTTGCGTACAAAATTGTGGCGAAGGTGTTGGCGGATCGGATAAAGCAAGTGATGGCGGCGGTGATTTCGGAGCATCAGTATGGCTTCTTACCTGGACGGAAATTGGCTGATGCGGTCAACGTGGTTGCAGATGTCATTGATGCAGCGGCGGCAGGGAAGGAGGATTGGTACCTTCTTCTTGTCGACTTCCAGAAAGCGTACGATTCCATATCCAGGAAGTTTATGTTCCAGACTCTGGAAAGGATGGGCTTCCCGGAAGAATACGTGGAATGGACAAAGGGACTTCATGACCAGTCCGGGACACAGATGCTGATCAACGGCTGGCTGGGAGACAGAGTGGGGATGGAGAGAGGAGTTAGACAAGGCTGTCCGCTAGCCCCATATCTCTTCATCTGCGCTGCAGAACCGCTCAGCCAGGAGATCAAGAGGAGACGACTGGGGGTATGGAAAAGAGGAATTGGAGAAATTGGATACTTGGGATATGCGGATGATACTACACTGGTATTGAACCGGAAGGAGCAGATCGGGAGAGCATGTGAGCTTCTGGAGGAGTTTGGGAGGAGATCGGGACTTAAGGTCAATCGTGGTAAAACAGTGGTGGTACCGCTCGGCAAGAACAGAGCCTTGCCGCCACCCGTGGACTTGCCATACACCTGGGCAGGCAAGGATGAACCACAGAGGCTTCTGGGGATCTGGATCACCCCAGGAGGCGACCCGGGGCCTTCGTGGGAAAAGGCGGCAGACCGCGCGGGGGAGGTGTTGATCGCGTGGCAGAACCAGCATGTGAATACGTCGGTGAGGGTCACGGTGCTCCTCATATGCTGCGCCCATCCTCCTCTTCCAGGCGCAGGTTTATCCACCTCCGAAGGAGATGTGGAAGGAATTCCGCACCACCAGTCACAATTTCACATCCAGCGGCAAAGCGTCGGCTGATCGTCACTTTGTCCTATGGAGCGGAGACCTGGCGTACAAAGAAAGGAAGGAGGGAGGTCTGGGGGTCATTGATCCGACGAAGCGAGTGGACTGTATGGCACTCAAAAACCTGGGCACAGCGATCCTGCAGAGGAACCCGATGAAAGTGTGGCTGATGGAAAAAGCGGCCTGCATGCCGTTCGGATGGGCGACGCTCTTGGCACACAGAGCAGTTCTACGGTTGTGGATAAATGGGATCGAGAAATGGCGGAGGACAGTGATTACCTTCTGGCAGACTTTGCAGTCCAAGCTCCCAGCACCGGCAAATCGCTGGGAGTACGCGAACGAGAGGCTCTGCTTCAGCAGATATATCTTCTACAGAGGCAAGAGCCCCTTCGGCCGGCAGAAGGGTTCGGAATGTCTGCGGGAGATGAAGCTGGGAGACCTGTTACAAACAGATTGGGACGGGATGCGCAAACTCAAGGACATGTGGACTCTGACACGAGAAACAGGCAGCTCGACAACAGCGCGGTGGGCCTTAAAAGCATGGAAGGCAGCACCGGAGGACTGGAAAACTGTACTCCTGTCGCAGCTGACTGGAGAAGAGGTTATGAAGCTGACGCAGCTGGCCAGCACGCGGTCCCTGGCAGGGAGGACTATGTATTGGCAGTTGCTGTCAACAGATGGCCGCGGAATCCTCGGAACGCCTGCGAAGGTGGGGAAGAACGGAGAGGTGCTGCTAACGAACAGATCCAGCCCGATCCGACTCGAACTATACAGACTGACCCCGCTGATTGTTGAGGAGGGCAGACTGGTGGGAGAAGCGGGCCTCCCGCTTTCACGTCTGAGGCTGTCGGTGCTCTGTGCGAAAGGGCAAAGCGCATCACTAAGGCAGCTGCGAGCAGAACTGAAGAGACCAGTTGAGCAGCCGAAGCAGCAGAAGAAGTGGGAGGAGGAGTATGGGAGATCAATTGACTGGAAAGGTGCCATCCGAAAACGGGACACTTTGGTCACGCCGGGCAGAGCGAGGGCAATCATCTTGAGGCTACACTGCAAAAACCTCCAGGTGGGGGACAGACTGCACTTCATGAAAGAGCACATCAGCTGCCCGCACTGCAAGAAGGACGAAACCCTAGCGCATTGTCTACTTGAATGTGAAGTGATACAGCCTGTCATCGGCGCGCTGAAGGGGGCGCTGAAGCAGATGAATCCAAACCGGGAGGTGGGGAGGTTGGAAGACTTCCTGTTCGCGGAAGATGGCACGAAATCGGGCTTTCCAGAAAAACCGCTGATAGCAGTGGCATTTCACCAGGTGTGGCTGGAGAGATGCGAGGCAGCTTTCCGACAAGACACGTTTCAGCCTTTGAGGGTGCTTCGGAGGATTGGTGTGAACTTCATGAAGCACGTCAGGATATACAGTGCCCACAAACAACACGTGGCAAACATCAGCAAGCAAGGAGGCGGGCAGAGCTGGGCCTCTTTGGAGCGGGACGAGACTGTAATGCTGAGCCGGATTTTCCAAGATGAAGACACGCTGACGTGGAAGGATGGCTTTAGATCGGTGTGGTCCAACCCGAGAACAGCCTTCCAACCACCTTAAAGCGCTAGTGGAAGGGCAGTGTTGACTTTTTTGTCCTCCCGGTCCCTTCCCCCTTCCAGTTACGACTGTGGATGTAACCGCTTATATAGGTGTAATGCATCCTTAAAAAAAAAAAAAAAAAAAAAAAAAAAAAAGTGGCGCCAAATCCCCATCACCTTGGAGATCCCATACCAGCCGCTCATACGTTCATGCCGAGCCTCGCCGGAGAGCCCCAGGTAGCCAAGCCTTTTCTCCCAAACCTCTTCGGTTCGAAACCAGTTTACCAGCTTCGGGCGAAACCAGGCCAAGCTCGGTCGGACTAATCTCTAGGCCAGATGCAGCTATCTGGTGAAGGTAGTTAGAGATCACCCCTGGGTACCAACAGTACCAACCAAGAGATTACCAAGTTAGCTGCTCGGAAAAGTCTCCTTTGGGTGGTTAGCTAGGTTCTCTTTACAGGACGCCTGGCTTTGAAGCGTCCATGGCTCTTATCTTGAACTCGCCGTTTTGAGTCTCGAATTCACGTCGCCGAGGCATGATCACGACTTCGATACCCGCTCCCGCTTGTGAGTCATCACACCTAATCGTGAGTCGTGATTACCATTTTATACTTGCTGAATTACACAGCCTGATCGTATCTGTCGAATGAGCTCTCGACTGCATCAGAATTAGGTCTGAAATATAATAAGGACATCAGCAAATCAAATCAGATCAATCGGATCGCAACGATGCATACGGATCGGCTGCGCTTTTCGCAGTCAAGTGCGCCGTCGAATGCGCCGTCATGTGCGGCAGATTCGATCCACCTGCACTCGCAGGCTCTTCCTCCTGAAAGCAGAAGGCCAGACGCCGTTTCCTCGCCTGCACAGCCGAGTGTAACAGGTTACCACAGTTGTTGTGGTGGTTACCAAAATTGTCAAGGTGGTAACCATTCTGCAGTAATTGACCGGTTATCAACAGCTCCACGGTTTCTTTCAAGCCATCCCTCCACGCGGCAAAATCTGGGACTGTATAGGCCAGTCCAGCATGCAATAGCGCGGATACACTCTCACGTCCATTCACCTTCTACGGATACAATCGGACGGCTGCAGCTGAGCGTCATGTCCCTAAGAACCACCACCAGCGGCGAAACGACGGAAGCCCTAGCATCGGAACCAGCAACAACATCGGCAACCGCGCCAGCGCAAGCGGCTCCGGGCCCGGCGGCTCCGGCGGTCCCGGCAGCGCAAGCGGCGCAGGCGGCACAGCAGCTGGCGCGGTGGCGGCAGCAGCAAGGCGCGAGCTGGCAGTCATTCGCGCTGGACCTCGCACTCGGCGGCGCGCTAGGCGGCGTGTCGCACACGATCGTGGCGCCGATCGAGCGCGTGAAGCTGCTGCTGCAGACGCAGGACAGCAACGCCGCGATCCTCGCGGGGCAGCACCGGCGGTACCGCGGGTTCGTGGACGCGGTCACGACGATTGTGAAGGAAGAAGGCTTTTGGGCGCTGTGGAGAGGGAACGGGACGAGTGTCATGCGCTACTACCCGTCTCTCGCGCTCAACTTCGCGTTTAAGGTCAGTCCGTGACGTCTGTAACTGTAACGTCCATGACATCAGTTGGTAAAGGATTCGCATTCGCATCTCATAGCCAAGTGTAAGTGACAGTGATGCCTACCATCTCTCTGTCTTTTTGTCTTTTTGCCTCTTTTGAATCCACTCAGAATTCACCTGCCCTTCCACTATCTTTCTGTCAAACCCCCTTCCCCGTCACAACATGGTTTCCCGCCCCCGGTTCCAACCCCCCCCCCCCACTCCCCCCCCCTCTCCCCTCCTGCGCGCAGGACTACTGTCGCGTTCTCTTCGCCCCGTCTCACCTACGTTTGAGTTAACTCAATTGCCCAAACCCCACCCTCCTCCCGCTTGCGTCTCCCCCATCCCTCCTTCGTCCCCCCCTTCCCGCCTTTGTCCTCCCCCTCCTCCCGCACACAGGACTACTATCGCGTTCTCTTCGCCCCCTCGCACCTACTCATAGACCCTTCCGCCACGCGAATCGCAGCGGGAAACTTCCTGGCAGGCGCAGCAGCAGGAGCCACGAGCCTCCTAGTCACTTACCCCCTAGACGTGGCGCACACGCGCCTAGCCACCGATATAGGCACGCGCAGGCAGTTTGCAGGCATGCGCTCCGTTATAGCGGCGCTCTGGCGAGCAGAGGGGATTAAAGGCTTATATCGCGGATTTCCTGCGTCCGTACATGGGATCATCGTGCATAGGAGTTTGTACTTTGGCGGGTTCGATAGTGCCAAGCAGCTGCTGTTGAAGGGCCACGGCGGGGGAGGGAGAGGAGGAGCGGGAGGAAGAGGGGATGGAGGAGAGGGAGGAGGGGGAGGAGGAGGGGCAGCGCTAGTGGGGGGAGGAACGAGTGGAGCAAACAGTGAGGTGATGAGAGGAGAAAAGCGAAGGGCTGGAGAGGAGGATGGGGACGGTTTGGGGCACGCGCCGTTCTGGTTGAGGTGGATGCTGGCACAGGCAGCAACGACGACGGCTGGTGTGGTGTCTTACCCGTTTGACACCGTGCGGCACCGCATGATGATGCAAGCTGGGCTTGCGAAGCCGAGGAGAGGCGAAGCAGGGCGAGCAGGGCCAGCAGGGGTAGGAGGATTCGCAGCAGTAGAAGTAGCAGCAGGAGCAGCAGGGCGAGCAGGAACGGTTTCAAGTGCAGTGGGGTCGGGAGGAGCAGCAGGGATGGGTTTAGCTGCAGCCGTTGCAGGAGCAGAAGCAACGCGTGGTGTCAATCCGGTCAATCCTGTCAATCCCCCAGCTGTTGCTAGCGTGCATGCTGCACAAACACCCAATGTGCGAGTGTCCGGGCCTGCTGCCTGTCCTCTAAGCCACTCCTTTGACAGCCACCAGGTACAGCACGTGCAGCTGCAGAACCCTGCACTTGGTCAACCAGGTCAACTGGGTCAACTGAGTCAACTGAGTCAAGCAGATAAATCTGGTCAACTGAGTCAACCGGGTCAACCACAGGGCAAGGCTCAGCAGCACCACCTCCAACAGCAGCAACAGCAGCAGCAGCAGCCAGGGCGGAAGATAGTGGTATTCAAGAGCACGTGGGCATGCTGGAAGCACGTGTATCGGCAGGAGGGCGTTCTGGGGTTCTATAAGGGGCTCTTCAGCAATATCCTCCGAGGCACTGGGGCGGCATTTATTCTCGTCATGTACGACGAGCTTCGGCAGTTTGTGCACGGGGATAAGGGGCTGTAATGGTAACCATATTGGTGTGGTAACCATTTAGTGGTGGCCATGGCCAAGTATTCACAAGAGCAACAGTAACCGTTGTATCAGCCATTGCAGGAGAATCAGCAGCATGTGCAGTAACTTGAGCTGTAGCAGAAGAGCAGAAATCTACCCTGGACACAGCGATAGGATCAAGAAGCGGAGTGGTAGGATATCTTATTTTTGGCGCGATTCGCGTAGTTTTTGTAGGCATTCATTTGGTATTTCATCGGCCATACCGAACCTGCCTAGTATGTACACTCTCATCATTCCACTGCAGAGCACCCACAATATTCTGGGCATCAACCCTCCACTCCACCCACACATGCCCCTATAGAAGCTGTCTCTTGTCTACACATCCCATTCTCTGCACTGTCTTTCCTGAAAACAATCACCCTTCATTCTCTTTTCAAGCACTGCTTGTAAAAAACTTAATCATCATACGACACATGGCAAGCACTGGTGCATCCAGGGGCACTGGGATCCTCAGCACCACAGCAGTCGTAGAAACGAGCAGGGTACTCCGGATCGCCGTCCTTCAGCTCATAGTACCTGGGGGTGTTGAGAGAAAGGAAGGGATAAGGTGGTTGTGGCACTATGACAGAAATCGTAGAAGCGAGCTGGGTACTCCGGGTCGCCATCCTTCAGCTCGTAGTACCTGTGGGTAACGGAAGGTGGGACAAGCAGGTGGTGACATTTTCACAGCAGTCATAGGAGCGAGCTGGGTACTCCGAATCCCCGTCCTTCAGCTCGTAGTACCTGTGGGAAACAGAAGGTGCGACAAGGAGGTTGTGACATTTTGGCAGCAGTCATAGGAGCGAGCTGGGTACTTCGGATCGCCGTCCTTCAGCTCGCACTACCTGTGGACATTGAGAGAAAGGGGGGGATGGCACTATGACAGCAGTCGTAGAAACGAGCCTAATACTCCGGGTCACCGTCCTTCTGCTCATAGTAGCTGTGGGTGTTGGACGAGGGAAAGAGGCAGGAATGAGGAGGGGGGAGGAAACCGACATGCAATCAACAATGCACCCTCCCCAACCACCCTCCCCAGCCCCCTCTATTACACTTCCAGCCCGCACGCACATCTTTTGGTCGTCGTGCTTGCGGCTCACAAACATATTGGGGTGGAACCAGCACGCCTCTAAATTCTTCCACTTCTCCCCTTTTTCCCCTAATGCTCTGTTAGCACATACTAACCTCTTTTGGTCGTCATGCTTGCGGCTCACAAACATCTTGGGGTGGAATCTGCACGCCTCTTGGCTGTTTTCTTCCCGCTTAAACAGCGTTCTGCAGCGCCTACACACCGACTCCTGCGTGGCCGCCATTCTGAAACGAGAATGGTTAAGAGCGGTGGAAAAGGCGTGGAGACGGGTGAGAAGGGGTGGAACGAGTGACGGAAAGGTGCGGTCCCCCTGTGAGCAAACTCCAGCAGCAGAGACGAATCTGGGGATAGTTGCTCGTCGAAACCGACTTCCTGATCTGTCGAAACCTTCTTACTAAGTGTTGCTCGACGGTGTGTTCTTCCTAATCTACTCTCTGTCTTGTACCATTCAGCCGAAACTACCGCTGACGCGGAAACACGGAAGTCGGCTTTGAAACGCGTGCTAACGAAGAAAGCGTGCAGATACTAACACCAGATGGAACGGCTGAAGAAGACTCGATTGCGAATGAAAATTACGTAAAGCCGGAGATGAAAATAAGGACCAGTAGCGCGCACAAAGGTGACGCCGTCGCGTGAGAGTTCAAGGAATAGGAGACTCTTGCAGGCACAAAACGCGGGATTTCCAAGAATGTGTATTCAGCATGCGGGATTTTCAAGAATGTGGAACTCCAAATGCGTATTGAAAGGGTGGACTTGTTCGCTTTTTGCGGTCAATCAAGATAAATTGCGGTGCAAAACGGTGAGGATAAATGACCGCTTTTCACCGTGTGGAAACGTTCCAAGAACCGTGCAAACGTACGTGCTGGACAGCCCTTTTCCTCAACGAGAGTCCGTGCACAAATGCTCAGGCTGGTGAGTAACGAGCGGTTCAAAGTGGTGAAACGAGAAAGCCAGGCTGTTCTAACTTCTAAAAATTCGAGCTCTTCTACTCAAGTGAAAGTGAACTCCTGAATGGCATGTGAAGAACATTAACACAAATAGAAGGTTAGGAAGGATGGTGCATGCATAAGCAGGAGGTTTCTGGTAGAAGGGGACAGGTTATATTGACAGGCACATACAAGAACCACCAGATTCAACACACGCAAATTATGAACCAAAGTGTGCCATTAGGAACACCCTTCTTCCGTCACTAAGCTCTCTGACTGTGAGCAGCAGGAGCAGCTGCTAGGAACAGAAATGGGCTAACACCAATAACCTGACAGACGGGACACATGGTAATGAGGTTGCAAAGGCGTTGGGAGTAAAGGAGGTGAGAGAGGCAAGGTTGTTAGAGCAGTTCGGGACAAAGGAGGACAAAGGGACACGGTGGGATGACTGAAGCGGGTGGGGACAAGGGGACAGCCGGACAGGCCATCTGAACAACAGCGGGTGGGGAGGGACGAGTGGCGAGCATGATAAGGAGACAGGGACGGGGCAAGGCCAGTGAGTCAGTGCCTGACAGGAGGGACATGATAGGTTGAAAAACGGGGTGGGTTGAGGAGGGGATGGCCAAGGCTGCTCAAGCAGTTCGGGATGAGGGAGGACGGGACAGGGTGAGATTTCTGAAACGGATAGGGATGAGGGGACAGGCCAACTGAACACAGAAATGAAGTGGCGGAGGGTGATAGGGGGACAGGGACGGGCCAATGCCTGACAGAAGGGGCATGGTGAGGATGCCAACGGGGTGGGTCCCGGGGGGGGTAGGGGAAGAGGGGTGGATGGATAGGGGAAGGTGAGAGAGGTGGTGATCCCTCTGCCCGTGAGCAGCAAGAGCAGCTGGAACGATGGGGGAGCAAGGAGGAAACAGGGCAGGGCTGTTGAATGGGTTGAGAGCAAGGCAGGAACGGAGAGCGCAAGGCCGTGGAACAAAAGGGAGACAACGGGTATATGAGGGGGGGCGGATGGAAGGACGTGAGATGAGAGTCGGGAAAAGAGAAATGGGAGCAGGAAGAGGGAGATGGGAGAGGGGGGAGAAGATGAAAGTGGGGAACGTGGTATGAGAGTAGAAGAAGTGAGATGGGCGAAGGGAAGTGAAATGGGATGGGATAAGTGAAGAGGAGAGGGGGAAATGTGAGAGAAGACAGGAGGAGAGGGAAGAGGGGAGATGTGGGAAAACAGCGGCTGATGCATGTTTGTGAAAAAGGGTGAGCAAAAATGCATAGGGAGCTCGTAAGTTGGGATTGGTGGGAGATGATGGGGAATGAGGAGTGATGGGCGGGGGAGAAGATGACGGGCGGGAAATGAGGGGGAAAAGAGTGCGGGAAGGGGGGAAATGAAGGGTCAGCGACAGGGGAATGAGGGATGAGCGATGGGGGCATGAGGGGTGAGCGACGGGGCATGAGGGGTGAGCGACGGGGGCATGAGGGGTGAGCGACGGGGGCATGAGGGGTGGGAGACGGGAGAATGAGGGGTGAGCGACGAGGGGAAATGAGGGATGAGCAACGGGGGAAATGAGGGATGAGCGACGCGGGGAAATGAGGGAGATGAGCGAAGGGGGGAAATGAGGGATTCGCGACGGGGGGGAAAGGAGGGATGAGCGAAGGGGGGGAAATGAGGGATGAGCGAAGGGAGGAATGAGGGATGAGCGACGGGGGGAAATGAGGGATGAGTGACGCGGGGAAATGAGGGAGATGAGAGGGGGGGGGGAAGGGAAATGAGGGATTCGCGACGGGGGGAAAGGAGGGACGAGCGAAGGGGGGAGATGAGGGTTGAGAGAGGGGGGAAAAGGAGGGGTGAGCGGCGGGGGGAAAACGAGGGATGAGCGACGACGGAAAACGAGGGATGAGCGGCGGGGGGGGATGAGGGGTGAGCAACGGGGAGATAAGGGGTGAGCGATGGGGGGAAGTAAGGGCGAGCGACAGAGACATGAGGGGTGAGCGACGGGGAGTGTGAAGTAAGCGAGGGGGATGCGAGGTGAGCGGAAAGGAAATGCGAACTAAGTAATAAAATAATGCGGATGGCGGATGCGCGAGATGTCTGGATAGCGAGATGGGGATGCGCGGTGATCGCAGGAGGAATGACGGGTGGGCGCAATGGGAATGAGAGGAAATTCAGAACGAGGGATAATTAGGGTGGAAAACGGATGAGCGGGAGGCAAGACGGAATGTGAGGGCCAGTTCAAACTTAAAAGCCCTCTCCGAAACCCTAGCTGCCCAGCAATGGCGTAAGGAGAAAGAGTCGGCGAAAGGAGGGGGAGAGCGGGAAACGGGTGGGGGGAAAAAGGGGAAGAGCGGGAAACGGGTGGGGGGGAAAGGGGGAAGAGGGGGAAACGGGAGGAACGATGTCCGGTCTTGCAGTCGCCACGAGTGCGCGCCACCAGCGCGCAACATTAGAGACAGCGCGCGTTACGGAAAAATAGAGATGCGCGCGCTGTAGATTGCGGCACGAAATTAACTCCCAGAAGTATATTGTGACCACCCAACGAGAGCGCGGTCCACCAAGATTAGCGCTGCTCCGCGAAAACTTGGTTGCACAAAATCGACAAAGAAATTATAGCGATCTTCCGGAAAAAAGGTAAGCAGCATCTGGCAGATCGACACTATACCTCGCTAAGGCGCAAACTACCACGAAGGTGGCGGGACTAAAACTAGCTAACTACGATCGGGCGAAAGGTGATACAAGGAGATGCGTAGAAATCGAAACCAGTTGAACAGATCTGAGATGCCGTGGCTGAATGGCAGTACACAGATCTGAGCTGGTGGTGGTATACCAACCGAAACACCATCCCTCCCTTCCCCACCAGGCCTGTCGATTGACGGGCATATGCCCTTAATGCCCTGAAATTCCGGGCTACGTTTGCTCCAGCTCGACTGCATAATGTGTTAGGATCGCCCTGCACCCGTGACACTAAGTGCTTCGTTCGACCCTTTCCCGGATACGTTAAGTGCTCCAACCAGGCCTTCCCCACCCACAAAGTTTTGATTTCCGGTTCTAGGAACCCCCCCCCCCAAGAAATTCTGCCTGACCCTCCCACTCCCCCCCCTTTCTCCTTAGGTTCAACGAGAGCGCGCCAAGGGGATTTTTCCCTTAGCGTTTTCTAAACCAATCCCGTGTTCGTGATATCTCTAAGTCAGCTTTGGAGCAGCCGAACTGTCCCTTAGCTAAGATAGTGTAGGTGCAAGCCCGGATATCAAGTTTTCACTTTGGCCTGCGCCCGTGACCGTTAAGGGCGCCAAAACACTCAGCTACGGCCAAAACAGGGTCAGATAGGGAGGAGCTGGGGACTCCAAGTATGGGCCCCAGGAACTTCGACAGGCCTGTTCCCCACCTGTCCCCCTGAAATTCCCTTTCCCATAATTTTCGCTTCCCTCGGTTTCACTTCCTTCTCATCTCGGTTTTTGATTGGTCCTCCGAATTTTTTTCATCCCAACCCCTTCCTTGGACCTACCCAGAATGTAATTTGACACCAGCAAAACTTCTTGCAGCCAATAGCCAACAGACATTGTTATTCTCCATGCCGTCCCGCTCCTCACGCAAAAACTCAAGTCTAGACTACAACCTAGTGCCACATGACCTGCCCGTGCTTAGAACCTCTTGACCAGTGGCACACTCCAAATCAGATCAAACAGAATAAAAAACAACTCATAAGTGTTCTTCACAAATCTGCAAACCATACACAGTACATTCAAGCAGGAAAAAGACACAACCGGGGATGACGGCGCGCTGCCTTCCCTGCCACCACTACAGTATTCTGACTCTTCTGGAGTCAAAACTAAATTTTGGCGGATTCAGCCACGATGGGGGATGGGCGGGCGCACTGCTGCACCACTGTTCTGATTCTTTTTCAGTCAACTGGTCAACCTTCCCTCCTTGCCACCCTTCACTGTTCTGACTGTTCTGGACTTGAGTCAAACCAAAATTTGGCGCGTCCTGATTGTCATCAACTTAGTCATTCCTGCCAAGCGATTTCGAACCACGCGATTCGAGGCCATTGATTCTAGCCCTCGGTGCACGTTGCCCCTCGGCAACTTCATATTCAGTTGTGTTGTGAGCTTCATTCTCACAAGACTGAAGACTTGAGCGCCACTCTACGGCTCGAGGTGTTTCCATCGTGCCTTTCAGGCAAGCAAGAACGCGCGCGCGAGAAGACCATGGAGGCGGTTTCAAGTTGTGCGTTTCAGGCACACAAGATCAAGCTCGAGGAGTGCCTGCCGAGGTGTTTCCATCGTGCCTTTCAGGCAAGCAAGAACGCGCGCGCGAGAAGACCATGGAGGCGGTTTCAAGTTGTGCGTTTCAGGCACACAAGATCAAGCTCGAGGAGTGCCTGCCGAGGTGTTTCCATCGTGCCTTTCAGGCAAGCAAGAACGCGCGCGCGAGAAGACCATGGAGGCGGTTTCAAGTTGTGCGTTTCAGACACACAAGATCAAGCTCGAGGAGTGCCTGTCGAGGTGTTTCCCTTGTGCCTTTCAGGCATTCAAGAACGAGCGCTCGTGAAGACCAGAAGAGGCGCTTTCCATTGTGCGTTTCAGGTACACAAGAAGCCGCGGATGATTCTACCACTTCCCTATCTCCTCTTTTACTTCTCCTCCCCGCGCAGATTAAGGGAGGGGCAGCACCACGGTCGTAATAACGGTGAGCTCTATTCCTCCTTTGCTTTCAGTTTTTTTTTCTTGTTTCAGTCTTTGTTGTTGTTCGTTTTTTTTTTTTTTACTAACTTATCCTTTGGTTTCTTCCTCTGCGCTGCAGGTTTAGCATGGAGCCGCGGCGGAAGTTATCACCCCCTTTCTCCTCTGTTTCTTCTCTTCCCCCCTTAGATCACGGAAAGAGGAGCATCACGTCAGATCTACTTCGCAAATAACGGTGAGCTCTCTTCCGTTTTTGCTTCCAGTTTTTTTGTTGTTGTTTCTGTCTTTGTTGTTGTTCTTTTTTTGTTCTGTTTTTTTTTTTACTAACTTTTCCTTTAGTTTCTTCTCTGCGCTGCAGGTTTAGCATGAAGCCGCGGCGGAAGTTATCACCCTCCCTTTCTCCTCTGTTTCTTCTCTTCCCCCCTTAGATCACGGGAAGACGAGCATCACGTCAGATCTACTCCGCAAATAACGGTGAGCTCTCTTCCTTTTTTGCTTTCAGTGTTTTGTTGTTGTTTCTGTCTTTGTTGTTCTTTTTTTGTTCTTTTTTTTTTTTACTAACTTTTGCTTTGGCTTCTTCCTCTGCGCTGCAGGTTTAGCATGGAGCCGCGGCGGAAGTTATCACCCCCTTTCTCCTCTGTTTCTTCTCTTCCCCCCTTAGATCACGGAAAGAGGAGCATCACGTCAGATCTACTTCGCAAATAACGGTGAGCTCTCTTCCGTTTTTGCTTCCAGTTTTTTTGTTGTTGTTTCTGTCTTTGTTGTTCTTTTTTTGTTCTGTTTTTTTTTTTTTACTAACTTTTCCTTTATTTTCTTCTCTGCGCTGCAGGTTTAGCATGGAGCCGCGGCGGAAGTTATCACCCTCCCTTTCTCCTCTGTTTCTTCTCATCCCCCCTTAGATCACGGGAAGACGAGCATCACGTCAGATCTACTCCGCAAATAACGGTGAACTCTCTTCCTTTTTTGCTTTCAGTATTTTGTTGTTGTTTCTGTCTTTGTTGTTGTTCTTTTTTTGCTCTTTTTTTTTTTTTACTAACTTTTGCGTTGGCTTCTTCCTCTGCGCTGCAGGTTTAGCATGGAGCCGCGGCGGAAGTTATCACCCTCCCTTTCTCCTATGTTTCTTTTTTTCCCCCCTTAGATCACGGGAAGAGGAGCATCACGTCAGAGGAGTCATCTTCGACAAGAAGGTGTAAGATCTTTTCGTACTTATGCTTTGTACTTATCCCTTTGTTTCTGCAATTGTTTCTGTTCGTTATGTTTAGATATGTTTTACTTGTTTTGTTTTGTATTGTTCTGCTGCTACGATCGTATCACCTTCTCCTTTCTTTTTTCCACCCCCAGTTCACGCCGAAGAACAGCAGCTGCGTGGTTACTATGACAGGCGGAACGTTAGGCGAGCTAGATCCGGCGACGCACGAACGATCTGACCGACTGTACGTTAAATCCCGCGACCTGGCGACGTGCGAATTGACAGGCGCGTTAGATCCCGCGACATGGCGACGTGCGAACTGGCAGACGCGTTAGAACCCGCGACCTGGCGACGTGCGAACTGGCAGACGCGTTAGAACCCGCGACCTGGCGACGTGCGAACTGGCAGACGCGTTAGAACCCGCGACCTGGCGACGTGCGAAACTGGCAGACGCGTTAGAACCCGCGACCTGGCGACGTGCGAACTCACTGGCCGACCGACATACCGAACGTATGGACCCTCCACCTGGCCCGACTTCTTCGGCTGCTCCTGAAGCAACAACTGACTTCTTCCGGATGGCATCATCGACAACTTGAGGTGTCCTGCCGGATGGCAGTCTAACAATAACGTTTTGCCCTCTTTTTCCAACAGGCCCCAGACGATTGACCTCCACCTCATCGCGGTGTCTGGGTGTAACGCTAGGAGCTTGCTCCTAGCGGCCAAGAGGGGTCAAGAAGACAAAATGAAGTCAAGATTTCAGAAGGCAAGCTGAGTGGAGTACTGACGGCTTGAAGCTTAGTTCTGTGGTTTATATTGTTTTGTATGCCATGTATTATGAATATGAGACTTTTAATCATTCTTATTATCATCCTTGATTATTCTGGATTAGTCAGTCAAGCTAAGAACGCCAGCCATGACCTCTGTCATGGTGAAATGGACTTGCATGCTAGACTCGCAGCTTCGAGTTTGCTTTTTAGACTTCGAAATCTTGCTTGCTGCACTGTGCACCAAGCACCAAGCGACTCACGATCATCCAGATTTGTTGCGCGCCAAGAAAGCAACCTGTCAGTAGCGTACAGAACACGAGGCTTCGCGAGGATCCAGTACGGTTCCTGTATGCTTCGGGAGGATCCAGTACAGTCAGTGATTTTCCCGCGCATTTTCAGAAGACCCGAAGGATGTCGTTCAGTTCCATGCAATTTCTTCTTTCGCCCGCTGTACCTTTGCGAAACTATGTTCTGAAGAACATAGCATCTCCGCGAATGAACATTGTTGTGCATAGCATCTCCGCGAAGGAACATTTGTGTGCATTGTACACGCTACTGGTGTTCAGTATAGCGGTTCCAAGCTCCAGTGTCCAAGTTTTGCGGCTACTCAAAGCTGGTGGTTTCAAGTTTCAATCTCACGTGAATCTCCACACACATTAGCATTCATGTTCACGTAAATATCAGCGTAGTCTCGAAACCGCCAGCAGTAGGAACCGTAACGAGCGTAGGTGGGCATACTGTGATAGACACATACTATTCTTTAGGTAAGTCTTGTCGATCTGTCGTTCTTCTATACTCCCAGTCCGTCCACCGTGAGGAGCATTTATTAGACTCGTGTCGCCGTTGCCATCCTGTCAAATTTTGTATATTAAGGGTCACCCACCGGTAACATGTTAACCATTCTCTCCTTACGTTTTTGCTTCTGCTAGAAAACAGACGCTTAAGCAAAATGTCAGATTGCTGGAATGCGGGTGCAATTATCGCGACCGTCTTTCTTCCACCTCTTGGAACCTTCATGAAGAAAGAGTGCGGATACGAATTCTGGGTACGGAATAGTTGTTTTCTCTGTTTGAACTCTAAAAGTTCGGGATGGACGTGTAGTAGCTGTTTGCGTTTGTTGCGGGAGCCCCTGTCGACATGGTGGATCACCCTACTCTGTGATTCATGTGCAGATCTCTATTCTACTCACGCTCTGCTTTTGGTTCCCTGGAATGATTTACTCTGCGTGGGTTGTTGCCCAACAGTGAGTTCTTTTGTTTTTGCACGCTTCGTTATTCTTGTTAGGTCGAGATCGAGTATCGACTTCTGTGGTTGAATACCGTGTTTGCCTGTCTGTTCTGTTTTGTGCAGAATCCGAGTTGAGGCGATGGGACCAATGCCAGGTCACTGAAGTGCAATGTATATGCTTACCATTCATAGGCGTGTACATTCCCATCACGCTTTCTGGTGTGGGTGAAAACAAGTGTCAAGATATATACCTTGACCACTCTCTTTGCGTTTCTCCTCCGTAACCCCCTCGCATGGCACTGCCTCCGTAACCTTCTCACATTGTACTGACTCCAAGACCTCACATGGTACTGCCTCCGTGACCTCCTCACATTACACGACCTCCGTGACCTCCGACATGGTACTGCTTCCGTTATCTCCTCACATGGTACTGCTCCGTGTGTGACCTCACATGGTACTATCTCCCGTAACCAGGGCCCACATTTCAAGGGTAAATTCCCTTTTTGCCCTTTTTGCCATCTATATAGCGGAGAAAACTTTACCATTGTACAACCTTCTTCCTTACTGATGGTTTATACATATGCTAACTCTTGTCCACTCTTGTCTATGAACCTGCACCACTCTCCTTGTGTTCCTCCTCCGTCTTCGTAGTGGTGGCTGTGGCTGTGGGGATGGACGTTTCTGCAGATGTAGCCGTTCCTTTCTCATATGGCTGCACCAGTGACTGCAAACTTGATCCAAGTGCCTGCAGAAAGGAACCGAAGTCAGTTCAGCATCCGCAAATGTAATAAAAAGGCATCAATAATCTTACAACTGACCTTAGCAGCATCGGTTACAGCATCTCCAGCAGCAATAAGCACCTCAGCAGCACCGACCACAACAGTCTGTGTAACACCCTGAGTGGTCTTCACTGCTTCGTGCACGTCTGCTGCTGCTGCCTTCACTCCCTCACCAGTCTCCTCCGATCCCTTCACTTCAATATCACCACCAGTCTTCTTTTCTCCCCCAACAAACGAGAGTTTTTCCATAGCATGCTGAATGTCAGAGTAAATCTTGCTGGCTGCCCCCTCCACCACATGTTCAGCTTCCAGACCCTTTTCCTTCAAAACCTCTGCCACCTGACCCAACCGCTTTGAAGACGCTTCTAAAACAGCAGCAGCCTCTTCCTTCCCCTTCACATCCACTCCCTTACTTATAGCCGTCTCTCCCTCCTGAACCTCCTCCTGCCCCTTACCAAAGCTGGACTTGAGAATCTCTGCAGTTTCTCCCAAACTCTCCTTCGCCCTTTCCGTCAGCTCCTCAGTCTTCTTAGTCACCGTCTCTGTCCCTGACATGAGTCCTTCCTTGGCCTTCTCCGTCAACTGACGTCCCTTCTCCGCGGTTGCCTCGCCTGCCTTCTTGGTGGTCTCTGTCACCTGGCTACCCGCCTGCTGTGCCTCCTTTTTAGCCTCCTCACGCTTGATTGAAGCGGCTGCCTGATGCTCTCCAGCTCGCTTCGCTGAAGCTACTGCCTGATGCTCTTTAGCCTGCTTAGCCCTCTCTTCCTCCACGCTCTTTCTCTCGCTTGTTTCAGCCGTGCTCTTACGCTCAGTGGGCCTTTCCTCCGTGGAGCCCTTCTCCATGGTTCCCTTCACACGCTCAGCCCATGACACGCCCTCCTGCTGCTTCGGCTCTCTCTCAGCTTGTGCCTGTCCACTATGTGGGACCTGCGGTGCACAAAACCCGGTACTCAGGAAAAGAACAGACGAAACAGCGTAACACGGATACTTGCGATGAATTTACCTGCGGAACTTGCTGGCTCGCCATGTTGCCTCTTGCTTGACTGACACGCGCGATGCAGAACGGTGCGTAAGAACGGATTCCTCAGTTCTGACAACTTGGGATATGAGAGCGCGCAGATTTTCACGAAGGAGCTGCAGCGAACCAAATAGAACTCGCGACACGGAAACTCGGGAGAACACCGCTATTTCAAGGACGTATAGCGACGTTGCGTGCGCAGCAAGTCCGTCCTGGGTCGGCCCAAATATTCTTCCGGGCAACCATCTTATCGCTGCGATTCGGTCGCCTTACGAAGAGACAGCTAGCTCCACATCCGTCCCCGCTTGGACGGAGACACGTGGCATCCATTGGACTGTAAAAGGCTCGAACATAGAGGCCGATCCAAGGGCTGCCTTTTCCTGCCCAACTTCACAGTCACGCATGCAAGCGACATGTGAACGCGGTCGGCGAGCCGACATGCAACAACCATTTGATCCGAGCAAATTCAGCTTAGCCGCTGCCCAGTGAGCGAGTACTCTTGCCATTGCCCGTGACCTCACTCAATCCGGAAGACCGACTACAGACCTCGAATTTCAGACAGAAACCATGAATTTTGCCGCGTGGATTGCTCACATTCAATCTGCGACCTCCATGGCATGACTTCGACATTAGCAGCTTCGGTAAACTTATTAGGCTCATCCCGTTGTGTTTCAAAAATTGTAGTTGGTGAACCGTGATGTTGGACCTTCTCTGTTGCAGTTTCAGGAGGAGTCTCATCAGCGACTGTTGTGGTTTCAGGAGACCATCAAACACGTGCATTTCGCATTCAACCTGACCGTCGAATCTCTGCTTCGTTACATCTGCCCTGAACCCAAGCCGCTCAGTTGAGCACACTCTCCCCCCAACCACCACAATCGCGTCGTGTCGCACACTCGCCAGCTACTTGGCAACAAGCCCCAATCGCCTTGTTGGCGATTACGCACATTGGTTCGGCGTAGCCAGCTCGGATCAAACCAGAATGGTGAAGCTTGTATACCCAATCAGCGTCGTCCCGCTCACCTCATGTGCCACATCACCAAACCATACCTCAAAAAGCCCAACAACCACCTTCCCGAAGCTATTTGCTAAGGATAACAAGCACGGGTCAACCACATCTACCAAAAATCTTTACCGAACTAAAACCACTGAAAAACCATTTCAACCAGCCCGAAACTCAAGACAATTACAGCCCCTGAAACAGCCCCGCCAAACCAGGAGATCAGGCTCTCCCCGTGCCTCGGCGGTAATCCCAGGTCTCCGAGGCTTCGACCAATCAATGAAGCGCAGGATGGTGGGGCAGTTCAGTATGTAAATTAGTTGCTCCTTGAAACACAAATCTCATTTCTCTCAGCGCCACCTAGATCAGATAACAGCATATTACAGACATTTTTGTTGGCGCATTTTCCGCACGTGTGTAGAAGTTCGCAATACCAGCAACGAGGACCCATTGAATCCAGTTATCTCAGCGTCTATAGTTTCATCCCTCACTTGTTACCTTTTTAACGCATTGGTGTTGCGAGCTGCATCGCTTGATCCCGGTTTTTTCACAAGGCGGCAGTCAGATCCGCCATGGCTCCGTGGTATAAGGAGAACACGACCGTCAATTGCTTCGGGGTTACACTCAACCTCGGCGATCTCACCGCGCTGCCATTGGTCGTCGGATACGCTCTCTGCTCGAGTCTCCTCGCAATTATCAACAAATACGCCATCGATGTCTTTCCTTTCCCGAGCCTTCTAACGGCTCTCCAATACCTCACATGCGTCGTCGCGGTCTTCGGTTTGGGCCAAATGAAGGCTCTGGAGCACGACCAGATCCAATGGAGCATGGTCAAGAAATTCCTTCCCGCGGCTTTCGTTTTCTACATGGCAATCTTCACCAACACGACGCTCCTTAAATACGCCAACGTGGACACATTCATCGTGTTCCGGTCGTCTACACCGCTTCTCGTCGCCGTCGCTGATTATCTCTTCAGAAAGCAGCCATGGCCGGGGCCATACACCTTTGGAGCTCTTTTCGTGATTCTCGCCGGCGCGGTTGGTTACGTGGTTACAGACAGCCAGTTCACCGTTCGCGCGTACACGTGGGCTTTCGCTTACCTCTTCACAATCACACTTGAGATGGTGTACATCAAGCATATCGTGAGCAGTCTCGGTCTGAACACCTGGGGTTTCGTCCTGTACAACAATTTCCTCTCCCTTCTTATGGCTCCTCTCTTCTGGATGATCACCGGCGAGTTTCAAGAGACGATGATCGCTACCACCGCTATGGCCGACTGGAAATTCGGCGTGGTTTTCCCCGTGCTGCTGTCCTGCGCATTTGGACTCGCTATTAGCTTCTTCGGATTCGCCTGCAGAAAGGCGATCTCGGCAACTGCTTTCACTGTTCTCGGAGTGACCAACAAGCTTCTGACCGTTGTCATCAACGTGATGATCTGGGACAAGCACGCATCCTCGTTTGGAGTCATGTGCCTTCTCGTTACAATCATCGGAGGAGTGATGTACCAGCAATCTAACGTGAAGCAGAACTTCCGAACCGCTCCGGCATCTACGGACGAGGAGGAGGCGAAACCCTTGACTCCTGCGAATGAAGTGGATGACGGTCAAGATGCTGGTGAGCTGCGTTGATCGCACAATCCGTTTTATTTTTTCTTCAACGACGTAGATAAACAATAAGCCACGAAGAAAAATGAGCAAATCTTTTTACTAACGGTCATAACATAGAAACCCTGCGTGAAGGGAAGGAGGCATAAGAACGTAACGATTCGCCTCGCGGTTTCGTATCAGAGGCGGAGGTAACCAATTTAGGTCCCCATTTCGGAGGTGGACTCTGAAACAGAGTGGATGCCTTTTCCACCACAACTTTTTTTTTCGTTTGAGTATTGAAGTTAGTGGTCTTCTAGGCAGTTTTGAGTACCCCCCGTCTCCAAGTTGTCTTAGAATACTCGTCTGTGGAGGCTACGAAGCCATGGCAATGAAATTGTTGCGGTCATTGATCTTTAACAGGACCCTTCCAGATTTTAATGCCATATATTCGTTCATCCAATGCCAATCAATCCGGTCTACATATAAACCCTCGCAGAACCCTGACCCTCCTCTCTTTACATCTATCCTCATTCCTCTGCTCCTCTGTGCTCTTCTCTTATGCCCTTCTCATCTTGAATCCTTCCTCGTCCTGCCTACTGCCTCAGTCTTTCCTCCCTTGCACCGTTCAAATCAATCTGAAAGTCCGTACCTGCCTCAGTCCTTTATTGGCCCTATATGCTGCTCGCCAATTATCCCACACAATCTCCTGCGAGTTATCTCATACTTCACTTCCACCCAAATCCCTCACCCTCCCCCCCATCCTGCAACCCCTCTCCACCACCACCCCCCTTCTCTTGCTCTCCCTCCACATCCTCCCTCTCTTTCACCTCCCCTTCTGGGTCTTCCTTTTTGCCCAATCCCCCATGGCTCCTCTTGGTGGCTGGTCATCTGTGTGTTGTTTGTTGACAAGATTCGTAAATCTCCTCTCCTGTCGTTCTTGTCGGGTCCTTGTGTGCACAGAGCTAAAGCCCCTGAACGCCAAGTGAGCATACCCAAGCGGTTCAGTCTACGTAATCTGGCATTTCAGTCATTAGATACTGTCTGTTTTATATTTTCTTGTCTGAACTATGGGACGTAGCTGATGAATGATGCATGACTGTCCCTAAACTTGGGATAGTTCATTCTAGTTATTCTAAACGTCAACACCAGGGTGCCCGAAATACACACGCCACAAAGTCAAGGTACCCTTATGATGTTTACTGCCCATCAAGGTTCAAGTCCTAGTGCACCTACCTGGCAACGCCGTGTGTTTCTTACCGTGTAATCCAAGACTGAGTGGTGCTACTTGTACCGATTTTTTTTTATTTCCGTATCAAGTTCATTGCTGCAGCGTGCAATATAACATGTACGGTGATTCCAACCTGACAACTGAAAATACAGTCCATTCAAAGGGACGCGTCCCCTCCCTCGATCTATCGTGCTATAATGATCGATCATCCACCGCACTAAAATGTAGCTTTTAAGCCCTTTTAAACCGAGCGCAGGATCGATCATACGCAGAATCGATTGAGGGAGTGGACGCGTCCTAAATAAAGGTACTACATGTTTAGAATATTTCATCACATCAATCAACGTCGAAAAAAATGCATTTCCTATTTGCACATCATAGTGCACATCACTGTTGGCACACCAATGCCAGTAAGGATAATGTGGATATTGACAGGCCAGGTTTAAATGGTGGCACACATTAAATATGTTTATAACATTTAGGTGCAGCATGCCACCCAATGCCAGACTGTGGCTTCAAGCGAAGAAAAACTGAAAGAGGGCACGCAGTCTGCTGTTCACGTGGGCCGTTGCTGAGAGGATGTGCTGCGCTGGCCAGCTATAATTGGTGTGAAGTTGCAACGGACGGATGAGAACCTTCGTTAGTGGTGCCGACGCGAAAGCGCCATTGGTAAACTCTTCTTCCCGCCTGCTTTGGCTTCTGACCGTCCAATCGAACGGTTTAACCGTATATCTTCGCCACGTTGGACGACTGACGCATCGCTTTGAGCTCTTTTCCCGCCTACATGTCAAGATCTCATTGCTTTTGACGAGGCACAGTTTTGGGTGCGTCCACGTCGCTTTGAAACTGCTGCTTGACCAGGACCCCTAGCATTCGAACTGAACTGAAGCCTGGCCCCGCACGCAGACTACGCGGAAAAAGTTTCCGCCAATCCACCGCTCCGTGAGACGGACGGTGGCCGAGGTACACGCCTGCGGGGGAGTTGGAGGTCGAGTTGAACACATGCAACAGGCATGCTGCAAGCACATGGGACCCAATGGGCCAGCAAGCAAAATCTGCCTGCCATCCTCGTGCTGACAGTTTATTCCGCCGCACAGTCGTACCAGATATTTTCGCACCGTTTCGCATAATGTCGCAAATATGGTGAGGCAACACTATGCGAACTTGTAGTGTTTTTTTCCACGGTAGGGATGATAGAATCGGGGTACTGTATGGTAACAACGTCAGCACTGAATCGCTATCATGCTTGCGCGATAAACGTTTTTGGCATGGTTCTGCTGATGCTCCTAAACAGAACTTCTGACTGGGACCATGGCAATCATCATTCCCACTGGTGGTCGCATGAGTCAGGCGGTGGAAGCAACAGAACCAGAACAGTGAACGGTCATTCTCCCTTCCCCCCGTTGCCTAGGAAACCGGGTTTATGGGGAAGGTCCGCATGGGCCAGCAGCAACCTGGAATGGTTTGGTAACAAGGGGAGATGACGGGCAGGGGGGAAGTAACTGCAGAAATGCCGAGTGGTGGTGGAGGAGAGCAAGAGAGTGAAAGGACAGGGAAGGAAAGGAAGAATGGCGCGCGGAATGAAGAAGCCAGTTTCCGCCACAGGGTTCTTCGCGCAAGCGAGGGTTTCTTGGTCCGCTCCAGTGCTCCAGAAATGGGGCAAATGGGGGAAACTTATTACGGGAAACCGCAGAGGAAAGCGCAAACACGCGGAACAAAGGGGTCAAACTCCGAGAAGACGCGGAACAGAAGAGCAAAGAAGCACTGGTGCTGGTCACTCTAGCCCTGGTCTTAGAGGCATTCCCACTAACTGCTGGCTAGCTCGTCCCACAGAAGAGAAAGGGAAGGGAAGAGATCACCACTTCTTTTTCCGAGACAGCCTGTTTGTCAGCTTACAAGAAGCTGGTGCATTGCATGAATGTTGTAGGTCTGCCTGTCATCCACCCTTAGCGCTTCCGATACCAACCACGTTATCATACTTAGTCTGCCTCGACGACAGGCTTACCTCAAATTACAACTGGGGGTAGCCGCTAACTAGCTCTTCGAGGTCTTGTTGTTTGGGGGTTATCACAGTGCATTTCTTCGAGAACATTCTTGATTTCTCCAACAATGGAGTGTCTGAGACTGCCTTGTCAAGCCGTGTCGATTTCTCGTAGCGGGAATGCCGGTCTCTCAGCGGCTGAGTTTGCCACACCTAAGGCGACATTAGATCGCCAACCAATTAGAAGCCGGAAGTTTCTGAGTTTCAAAGGCTCCGCATTTCCTTCCATGCAATCCCCTGGTTTCTCCAACGACTCCAATTTCGCAAGAGATGGAGCGGGTTCATCATCCTGGCCTATGTCAGTCCCAGCAATGTCTTCTCAGCCCAGGCATAGTAGCAGATGTCAACGATTCCCGCATTCTGCTCGTTTTTCTGAAGATCCGATCTGTTCGTTTCCTGACAACGACGACCTTGAAGCATCTCGGTTAGCATTGGCTCAGCTTGAACGATCTTTCCTGGCGGAGTCGTCGATTGGAATTGTGGAGTGTACCAGCAAAGGATGCAGACCCGTTCTCAGGTCACCATCTCCACCTGCTGCTGAACCGTCTCCGTCCTCTTCCGGATCGTCGCCGTCAACCCATCCTACGTCTTACCCCCTTAGCTCATTAGCTACTGGTGCTGCGTGCATGGAGGAACGAGCTGCGACTTATCACCGGCATCAGGAACAGCGACAGGCCGAAGTGTCGGGCCGGCCAAGTCTTAAGACAGAGTTCGCGGAATTCGTTAATGAAGTCTGGGTGGAGCCGTCGACGGCTGACAAATATTACCGGTCAGCGATGCGGCAATCTCCGTACGATATCCGGTTACTAACTAGTTACGCACAGTTTTCGTGGAAGCAGCTTCACGATAAGGATCAAGCAGAGAATCTGTATCAGAAGGCGATTCAAGAGTCTCCGGATAACTCGGATGCGCTCGCGAGTTACGCTCTCTTCCTGTGGGAAAGTGAGAGCGAGAGCGAAGGGGAGATGGAAGCGGTAAAGAAAGCAGCGGTCGTGACGTCAGTTTAACGCAGATGGGTTCAGCAAGAATTGCGGTGACGAGGCTAATCAGTCTTGTGCGCCTGTTGCATCTCATTTGTTCGAATCGTACATTTCTAGGAACTTAAAATTTGCTGCCCCTTCCGCGGAAGGGGCATCTTAGTAGGTAGAGCATGCCTGCTCCCTGTTGCTTAACTTATAGGCAGCGGATTATGGTTTGAGAGTTGTCAATGAGTTTCTGTATACTTCACTTATACCCTACCAATGTTCATTGCAAGAATTCCCGACTTGGTGTCATGCAAATTATGAGTGCAAGGTTTTGGGGTGATGGTACTTCACTTGCATGATGCTTGATGGCCTTACCAATCTAAATATTTCCTGTGCTGTTATACAAACAAGCCCAGACAGTCTGCCAGGTACACCTAGAAGTGGCTATGATAGTACCACCATACCGAACCTGAAAAGCCTACAGAAGAGCATGTTGGGCTGACTTTATCAGACTAAAATAGTCTGATTGTCTGAAATCTCAGGGTATTTTCCTACGGATCCTGATTTTTCAGACTTGTAAGATTTTCAAACATGAGTGCCTCAGACTTACTTGGTTTTGGATCCTGAGATTTTCAGAGTACTGACTTAGCCGATAATGGGTCTTCATACTACAGGGAGTACGGATCCTGAAATGCGGATCTGTGATTTCTACGTACATTCCGCTACGTCATATGTTGCCAGTGTACGAACACACTTCATGGCGCTGTCACGCGCAGAATCTGTCCTTGGCAACTTTTGCCACCCTTTTCCCTTAGAAATCTGCCAACTTGGCTCACTCTTCCACTCACGCGGGACCATCATTGCAGCTACGCGGTGTCAGCGAGGGAAACTGGTTAGCGTTGCGCCCCACGTGCTACATTTGTGGCAGTACTGTACTGCAGTGGTTGTAGTGTGTTCTGAGTACTTCAGACTTGTGTTTTTGCGGAACCTGAAAAATCAGAGTGGCCATTCTCTGGGAAATATGCCTCAGACTAAAAAATTTCAGAGCCCCCAGAACATCAGACTGGATTTTTTTGAATAGTCAGCCCTGATGTTGCCCCATTTCAGCAAGGTACGTGACATTATTTCCTAACTCCAAAAATGGTAACTCAAAAGCAAGCTGCCCCCTCCATACAACACCCTCAGGCCCTCTCCAAACCTTAATAATCATTAGTCTCCCTCTCTGACACCCCCCTCCATATCACGCCTCCCTTGAGCTCATCTCCAATGGACCCGGCTCTCCCCTTCGAATACGCCTCACAACAGACCTCCCCAGAGCAAACGCTGCAACCACGCCAGCCAGGCGCAGCAAATGGCCTCCTTGCCTGCGCGCCCGCCCGCCCCTTCCCCTCCCCGCACCACGAACTACTTCGCTGTGGCCGTGCAAACTCATGCTCCCCACACCATCCCCCCCCTCGTCCTCTCCCACGCTCTCCCTTACTCCCTCTTCACTATCTCCTTCCGAAGGCCTCTGATCACCACTCCTGCCGCCTTCCAACTCCTCACTCCATTCACCCACCACCTGCTGCGCGCCAGCTCGTGCCACCCCATGCTGCTGGCGATCAGTGCCGCCTATAGGCCTGTCAGCTCCTACCAAAGCCCGCTGCCCATCCCCTCCTCCCACGAGTTGCACGTAAGCTCTTGTCATGCCATTATGCCGCTGCTCACTGCCTCTTACGCTGCCAGCTCCTAGTAAAGCCTGCTCCCCATCTACGTTGCCAAATACGCTCTGGGTAGGGTGGCGTACCACGTATATACGATTGCGTACGTACGTTGTGAATCAAGAAAACAGGAATGAAATGACTAAGTGAAAGTTGGGTACAAAAGGCAAACCCTAGGAAACCGTACCCCATATGTGCTACCCCACTATAGCCTACAGTAGCTATGTCAAACAACTCTGACACACCCCCATAGGCAAAGTGGGGGAGAACAAGGGGTCACAAGACCAGTCAAGCAAAGCAAAGCAAGCTCAGGGTGGATCACAAAGTCACCACACATTCCGAGCACAAGTTCAAGGCCACAAGGCCAGTTCACATGCAGGATTACATATATATATAAGGCTAAACAGGCAAGAGCAGGAGTATATATATATGCAACAGTACAAACAAGGTCAAGAGGTGAGCAAGTGAGGCAAGGTAGGCACAAGACCCAGCTGAGTACAGAAGCGCTGATGATCACAAGGTGCGAGTGCCTTGGTGAAGATATCAGCAGTGTTGGCCTCAGAGGCCACGTACGCAAGTCGCAGCTGACTACGCTGCTGTAGCTCACGAGCAAGGAAGTAGCGAAGAGCAATGTGCTTCGTTCTGTGCTCCAGTCTCTGCTCTCGACACAAGGCCAGCATGGCCTTGTTGTCTACGTAGAGCACTGGAGGAGAACGAGGCGGCTCTCCGAGGTCAGTCAGCAGGTAGGTGAGCCAGCGAAGCTCCTGTGCAGCCATGGCCCCGGCGTAGATCTCAGCCTCGCAACTGGAGCCGAGAACAGAAGACGAGCGAGTAGCCCGCCACGAAACAGAGCCGGAACCAAGGCTGAAGGTGTAACCCTGTGACGACCGCTGCGTAGCCTGGTCGTCAGCCCAAGAAGCGTCTGCGTGTCCAGTGAGGACCACTGGACTCTGCCCTCCAAGCACAAGCCCCATGCCCGATGTACTGCACAAGTAGCGCAACACCCTCTTCGCTGCAGCCATGTGCTCCGGTCTGTGTCTCCCAGGAGCAACATAGCGTGCAAGAATGCTAAGAGAGTATGCAAGGTCAGGTCGTGTGCAGGTCATCAGGTACATGAGGCAGCCAACAAGCTCTGGGTACGGGCCACTCGACTCTACGGACTCATCCGAAGGCAGAGCTGAGAGCGAGTGGCGAGTAGGCAGAGGAGTGGCCTGAGGCGAGGAGTACGTGAAGCCGAAGCGCTGAAGGACCTGCTGCACCATGTGTGACTGAGTTAGGGTAATGGTGCGGCGTGCTCTGTCCCGGGTGATCTGCAAGCCAAGGTAGCTGCGCAGTTCACCCAGGTCTGTGCACGTGTGTCTCTTCTGCAGCTCGGACTTCACATGGGCGAGTCCAGCAGTGTCAGCTGTGGCAAAGACCAAGTCGTCGACGTACACGAGGATGTAGAACGGCTGCAAAGAAGTGTCGGTGCGCAGAAACAGCGACGGGTCGGCAGTAGAGGGAGCAAACCCAAGAGCCGCAAGTGTAGTCCTCAGTGTGTCGTGCCACTCACGCGGTGCCTGGCGGAGACCGTAGACTGGCCGCCGGAGGCTCCACTGGGTGCCAGGAGGAAAAGACCCAGTGAAGCCAGGTGGGCGACGCAGCCAGATCTCCTCGTGCAGGCTGCCCTGCAAGAAAGCAGTGCTGAAGTCAAGAGAGTGCAGCTCGTAGTCGCGGTGAGCAGCTATGTGCAGCAGTACCCGAAGAGTGGTCATCTTCGGGGTGGGAGAGAAGGTCTGAAAGTAGTCAACTCCCTGCCGCTGACTGAAGCCACGAGCCACGTAACGCGCCTTGAAGACAGGCGGAGAACCCGGCGGCCGCTTCACCCTGAAAATCCACATGCCACTGACGATGTTCGCCCCAGGCGGGGGAACCTCGTCAACGTAGGTGCCTGTGGACTTCCAGGAAGCCATCTCTGCGTCCATAGCTGCCTGCCACTGAGAGGAGTAGGGACCCTCTATCGCCTCCGCGTAAGAGCGCGGAGTCGGGATGTCAAGTGCATCCGGGTCTCCCTCAGGGGTAAGCAGTACGGACACGAGATGAGGTGAAGCAGCAGCCAAACACTGGAACTCCTCCTGCCTGTCCTCAAGGACGTCCGTGCCAAGGGCACACTCACCCCCGACGGACGGAGGACAGACAGACTCAGACTCAGCAACAAGACTAGCAGCGTAGTCTAGACGACAGCGAGCAGCAAAGTCGACGAGCTCAGTAACTAGGGCAGACGCAGCAGTGGACTCAAAGGAAGGGTCAGTGACAACAGTAGCAAGGAGACGCGTGACAGTAGGACTGGCAGCACGAAGAGAGTCCGACTCCAGGTCAGGAAGAGCAGGAAGAGAGGACTCAGGAGGAGAAGGCAAAGGGGCACGCAGAGGAGCAGTGGACGGACGCAGAGACATCCGGTGCGTGCCAGGGACAGGAGGAGGACGCTGACGCGAACCACGACCACTAGTGCGAGCAGCACGGACAGGCGACGCAGGGCGAGACGCAGGCTCACGACGCTCAGCAAGACCTCCAGTAGGACCAGTGTAGGGAGAAGGAGCGGGCAGTGGGGAGGCCGGCTGTAACTGTAACTGTGACGGGACAGGCTGTGGACACTCTAAGGGAGGAGGAGGACCAGTAGAAGGCGGGAGACCAAGAACCTGCTGAAGGAGCGGAACGAAGTAAGGCCGAGGCCGCGCGGCGACTCCAGACACAGCAGGGACAGCACCAGTACCCCCAGCGGCAGCACCAGCGCCAGCAGCACCTCCAGCTCCAGTACCTCCAGCAGCACCAGTAGCACCCCCAGCAGGACCGCCTCCAGGACCGACAGCAGTAGCCTCAGCGCCAACACCCTCAGCAGCTCCAGCTCCAGTCGTACCCGCAGGCCCAGCAGCTCCAGTACTCCCAGTACGAGCACCTCCGGGACCCGCGACACCAGCACCCTCAGTAGCCGAAGAACCTCCAGCTCCAGCAGCACGCCTCCAGCGCCGGGCAAACCACTCTCGCAGCTCCTGTGGAGAGAGTGCCTCCCGTCGAGACGAAGCACCCGGAGAACCTCCAGGCTCAGCACCGCCAGACGCCACACGAGCAGGCCCAGCTCCCTCAGGCTCCGCACCCCCAGGCGTAGCACCCCCAGGCTCAGCACCCCCAGTAGTAGCACCCCCAGGCTCAGCACCCTCAGGCTCAGCACCCCCAGTAGTAGTACCCTCAGGCTCAGCACCCCCAGGCGTAGCACCCACACGCTCAGCACCCCCAGAGTCAGCACCCCCAGGCTCAGCACCCTCAGCAGCACCAGAGTCACCAGTAACCTCGACAGGCTCGACTGCGTCTACCTGGGACACACCTGAAGGGGCAGGACCCTGAGGGGGGAGGGGGTCTACCGGGGGGGGACCTGGGACAAGGAAGAGCGGTGGCGGGGGGAGGGACGGAGTGCGGTAGGGGAAGAGGCGGTAGTAGGGGACCGACTCGTCAAACGTGACGTCCTGAGAGGACAGAACACGGCGAGAGGTGGGGTGGTAGAACTGCCACCCTGGCGCGTCAGGGGGGAAGCCAAGGAAGACGCAAGGAGCAGCACGAGGGGACAGCTTGTCCGCAGACAAGTCGCGGACAAACGCCCGAGATCCCCAGACACGGAACGCAGACGCATCGCCAACCTTCCCCGTCCACAGCAAAGCTGGGGAGGTCTCAGGCATGGAGACTCTGGGGTGAAGGTTGATCTGATGCGCCGCGTACCGAACCGCAAACGGCCACAGAAAATGGGGGGCAGCCGCATGCATCATGGACGTACGGGCGACATCCATGATCATGCCAATGCGGCGCTCAGCAATCCCATTTTGCTGTGGAGAGTCCGGAAGCGTGAAGGTCTGGCGGATGCCTCGTGCACGACAGTAGGCTCGCAGAAGGCCAGAGGAGAACTCTCCACCTCTGTCAGAGTGCAGACGCTGAACAGGAAAGTCCGAGCCGAAGCTCTGCCTGAGCTGGAGACGAGCTGCGCGGATCCAGTCGATCAACACCTCAGTGACATCACCCTTGCTGCGCAAGGGGAAGACTGTGGTGTAACGCGAGTAGTCGTCAACCACCAGCAGGAAGTAGCGCTCGTGACCCTGTCCACGGACGCGGGCCGGGCCCCACACGTCCATGTGAAGCGTCTGCAGCGGGGCCTCTGTCGGAGGAAACTGGGAGGAGTGAGGGGCAGCCCGCTACCGCCCCTCGACACAGGGGACGCAGGTAGGGCCAGGCCCCGGAGGAAGGGGAGGGAGGGACCGGGGAAGACCAGAGACAAGGACACGGGAGGCCATGCTTCGGAGACGAAGCAGGGAGGGGTGACCAAGGCGGTGGTGCCAGAGGAGAGTCTCGTGAGACAGGAGGCGACACGAACAGGGGGCAGACTCAGGACCAGACCTGGACGCTGCAGCAAACACCTGACCCGACGCAGCTACCTGACCAAACGTAGTGACTGGAGGAGACGCAGTGGTCAGGGTGTACAGGCTCGACCCCGGCCGACGGGTAAACGTGGCCAGGTGTCGGCCTGTCCGAGCGTCCGTGCAGTGGGTCACCCGCTGACTCGCAGGAGTGAACTGGTGAACCCCCGCATCCTGTAGGTCAGCACCACTCACCAAGTTCGTAGAGAACGAGGGAAGGTAAAGACCAGACAGGGTGCCAGAGGGGGCCGCCGGATACGGGAGGACAGTGGAGAAGTGAGCAAGGACAGGACCCCCAGAGGGGTCTGCCAGAGAGACTGCAACTGGCCGGCTAAGCGGCGTGAGTGTGGTGCGGTCTCGAAAGAAGGAGCGAGAAGCCCCCGAGTCAAGGGTGAAGGTGTGGGAGGCCGAAGCCGACGCAGAACCTGAGAGAGCAGACTCACCAGCACCTGAGGGAGCAGACGCACCTAGAGCAGCAGCCTCGCTAGCACCTAGAGCAGCAGCCTCACCAGTACCTAGAGCAGCAGTCTCAAGGCCCGGGTCGGGCGGAAAACACCGGTAACAGTCACCCTCATCACTAATAGTCACAGTATACATGGCAGCAAGAATAGCATCAAAGTCAAGGTCAAAGACAGCCACACCCGCCCTAGACAGCTCACCCCAGCGGGGGATCTCAGTGGCCTCAGGGAACTGGTGACGCCAAGCGTCCGTCAGGCGGCCAAAGCAGCGCTGGGTGGAGTGCGCACCCCCGCACTGCTCACCCGCGCGGTCGCCGGTGCGGAGGACGTAGGTGCACGGACCAGTACCCCCACCCCTCTGGCGTGCAGTGTACCACTCACGGAGCTGCTGAGGGGAGGGGATGTCACGAGTGCGCTGCTGCTGCTGCTGCTGCTGCTGGCGCTGACCACCACCGGAGCCGACCCTCTGCGCAGCGCCACCCCGACCAGCTCCACCTCCTCCGCCGCCTCCTCCTCCACCGCCGCCACCTCCGCTCCCTCCGCCACTGCCGCTGCCGCCTCCGCCTCCACTGCCGCCACCGACACCTCCACCCCCGCCACCACCCCCACCGCCACCCCCACCTCCTCCACCGCCTCCACTGCCGCCTCCACCGCCCCCGCTAGCTCCTCCAGCGCCCCTGCCCCCCTTGCCCTTGCCAGGGCGGCGTCTCCCGCTAGGGGTAGACGCCGCACCGACCGACTCAAGCCCAACGAGGTCGGCCGCAGCAGCAGAGGCAACAGAGGGCAAAAGGGGGGAGGGGGAACACCCCTCAAAGATGGGGGTGCGAGGGTCACCACGAGAGGCTCCTACAGCCACTATGCTCTTTTCTGCTGCTAGGAGGGACTTCTCGAGGAGGTCAACGGTGAGAGTGGTGGGGCAAACTGAGAGGAAGTGGTCCCTGACTACGCGAAGGGAGTCAGGGAGCCGGGTGACTATGTAGTAGAGGGTGATGTACATGGGGGGGGGGTTCTTGGCGCAGAACTCAGCAGGAAGCGCAGCGCGGTAGCGAGTGTCACTAGTGCGTAGGTGCGTAATGAGGTCAGCGACTGTGGGAAAGGCAGCAAGGTCAGGGAAGAGGTACGGTAGCATGAGGCGACTCAGTGCAGCAGTGGCAGGGGAGGAGTAGCGTGCAACTACAGCGTCGTACAAGGTCTGAGCACTCTTGTACTGGCTAAAGTGCGCACGCTCAGAGGTAGGCAGGTGGCGACGCACAGCAAGACGTGCAGCAGCATCGCGCGTGGCCCACTGGGAGCGAACAGTTGCGTCAGCATCAGTGGCGGGGGGAGGAGAGGCACCAGAAGTGAGGTCAAAGAGGGAGAGGCCGTCTGCCCTATCGCACTGTAAGAAAAGCTGCAGGTCATCTATCCAGACGTCAAAGTCAATGGCCCGACCCTCAGCGTCAAAAGCGAGGACACTAGGGGTAGCCATGACAGCAGTAGACTAGCAGCGCAAACAGTGGGGTGAGGGCAGTGCTGTGAGAGAGGCGCTGCTCTTACCGGACAGGGCGGCTCGGGCGGCTCGGCTGCAGGGCGGCTCGGCGACTCGGCTGCTGGGCGGCTCGGCTGCTGGGCGGCTCGGCGGCTCGGCTGCTGGGCGGCTCGGCGGCTCTGCTGCTGGGCGGCTCGGCTGCTGGGCGGCTCGGCGGCTCGGCTGCTGGGCGGCTCGGTGGCTCAGCTGCTGGGCGGCTAGGCTGTTGGGCGGCTCGGCGGGGCCGCTGAGAGGGCGGCGTCCGGGGCCGCTGGGAGGAGGCGGCGGGGCCGCTGAGAGGAGGCGGCGGGGCCGCTGAGAGGAGGCGGCGGGGCCGGAAAGGTAGGTGGCGGGGCCGCGTCAGGGGCCGCGACAGGGGCCGCGTCAGGGGCCGCGTCAGGGGCCGCGGCAGGGGCCGCGTCAGGGGCCGCGACAGGGCCGCGTCAGGGCGCCACGTCAGGGGCCGCGTCAGGGCGCCGCCAGGGGCCGTGGCAGGGCCGCGTCAGGGCCGCGTAAGGGGCCGCGGCAGGGGCCGCGTCAGGGGCCGCGTCAGGGCTGCGTCAGGGCCGCGGCAGAGCCGCGTCAGGGCCGCGTCAGGGGCCGCTTCAGGGCCGCGGCAGGGGCCGCAGCAGGCCGCGTCAGGGCCGCGTCAGGGGCCGCAGCAGGGCCGCGTCAGGGCCGCGGCAGGGGCCGCGTCAGGGCGCCGCGTCAGGGGCCGCGTCAGGGCGCCGCCAGGGGCCGCGGCAGGGCCGCGTCAGGGCCGCGTCAGGGTCGCGGCAGAGCCGCGTCAGGGCCGCGTCAGGGGCCGCTTCAGGGCCGCGGCAGGGGCCGCGGCAGGCCGCGTCAGGGCCGCGTCAGGGGCCGCGGCAGGGCCGCGTCAGGGCCGCGGCAGGGGCCGCGTCAGGGCGCCGCCAGGGGCCGCGTCAGGCCGCGTCAGGGCCGCGTCAGGCGCCGCCAGGGGCCGCGTCAGGGCGCCACCAGGGGGCGCGTCAGGGGCCGCGATAGGGCGCCGGCAGGGGCCTCGTCAGGGCGCCGCCAGGGGCCGCATAGGGGGCGCGTGGGAGGCGGCGTAGGGGCCGCGTAGGGGCAGCGTAGGGGCCGCTAAAAAAAAATTTTAGGGCAGGGCGCAATGTGCGCGGGCAGCTAAAAAAAAAATCTTATGGTGGGCCCTTAGGAAGGAACGGTCCCATGTAGGAACCCGCTCTATACCATGTGAATCAAGAAAACAGGAATGAAATGACTAAGTGAAAGTTGGGTACAAAAGGCAAACCCTAGGAAACCGTACCCCATATGTGCTACCCCACTATAGCCTACAGTAGCTATGTCAAATAACTCTGACATACGTGGTACGCTAATACGCTTCGAATTCGTGAAAAAACGCGCGGGCAGCCCGGCGAAAAAAAAAATCGAAATTGAAAAAAAAATGCGACGGTTATTAGGGCTTCGCGACTGGTTACGCGACCAAGCACATCGCCCAACCCACGTCTGAAATTCAAATTTCAGAATCCAAACCTCCCACCACCCCAACCACACACCACCCCACCAAACCTCTCATATCCAACCACCCCTCTCAAATGTCCAGCACGTCATGTGAGCATTTACTCGTTGACGCCTTCCTATCCTTCATTCGTTTCTCTCCTCCTCAATTTCATTCCCGAGCTCTGATCTCCCGTTTTCCTCAAGCAGTTTACCGTTCCTTAGTCGCGCCCCATGGCGTCGAACTCCACCCCTCCTAGCGCGACGAGCAATGTAGCTTCTGGTCACGCGTCTAGTAGTGCGATCAACACGCAGCCTGTTGAGGCTGGCCTTTCGAACCCCATTCTGAAACATTTTCTTATTCCCCCCCACACCAAAGGCAATCCCAAGCTTTGTAAGTTTTGTGGCTTCAAGTTTGAGGACGGAACCACTCGCTGCGCAGTTCACCTCGCCAAATGGAAAGGGCAAGATGGACGCCCTGTCAGGCTTTGCAAGGACGTGTCCCCGAAAGTCCGTGACGAAGTGCGTGCCATGTACGAAAACAAGGAGGAAAACAAGAGCATGAAACGAGGGGCGGCTGCTGCAGCACTCGACTCCGTGCTGGGCGCGGTCACTGCTTGTGCGGAGAAGAAGGGGAAGATAACAGAATTCTTCGGCGACGAGGCAACGTGCGCCAAGGAGGACGCGGATAACGCGCTTTGCCTAATGATCTCGGCGCTGAAGCTTCCAGAGCGCATCGTGGATGATCCGGTCTTCCGCTACGCGGTCCAGTGCTTTGCGCGCGCGGGACCGGGGTATGTTCCCCCCAAGAGGGGCTACGTTGGAGGGGCGGGCTTGAAGAAAGTGCGGCAGAAAATGGAGGCAGCGCTCGCCCCCGTTGCCGCGAGCTGGAAGCGGGACGGTGTCACCGTGTCGTCGGACATGATGACCGACCGTTGTGGCCGCCCGCAGGCCAACATACTCCTTGTCAACGACTCCGGCGCAGTTTTCGAGCAGGCCGTGGACTGCAACATGGAGTCGAAGACGGGGGGGTACATCGCCAGCCTTCTCCGCCCCGTCATTGATAAGGTGGGGCCAGAGAATGTGGTGGCGGTCTGCACCGATGGCGGCAGCAACTATGCATCGGCAGCGCGGAAGATTGCTGGCACATGGCCGCACATTGAGCATGTGCCATGTGCCACGCATGTCCTGGACCTGTTAATGGAAGTTGTGGGCAAAATGGGATGGGCGAAGGGGCTTGTGGAGAAAGGAGGGGAGATGATTACCTTCGTGCGCAACCACCACTTCACCCGTGCCTATATGAAGAAAGTGGGGGGGAAGCAGGTGCTCAAGCCTGCGGGAACCAGGTTCGGGACACAATACATAGCCATGGCCCGGCTATGTGAGGTGAGGAGTGGGCTGGCGGCGATGGTGCTCAGCGACGAGTGGAAGGTGTGGGCAGCGGGGGACAAGGATAGGAAGACTGCAGCCGAGAAATTCAGGGCTGCTGTGATGGATGAGGAGTGGTGGGGGGTGGCGGAGTTCTTTTCCTCTCTCATGGCGGTGCCATTCAAGGCCATGCGGGCCACGGACTCTTCCGCGAAAGGCATGATGGGTAAGCTGTATGACATTATGCTACAGCTTACCGAGGACATCAATGACAAGCTCGACGCTTCAGGCGACTTCTTGACTCGGACAGAGAGGGCAGACATCACCAAGATTGTGAAGGACAGGTGGGACAACTCCCTTGCCTGCCCCATGCATGTGGTTGGCCGGATCCTGAATCCGGCCAACCAGGAGGAGGGAATTTTCAGGAACGATGTGGAGTGCACGAGGGTGTTCAAGGACTACATCGAGCGCCACTATGACCACGTCACCTTCAGGCGCGGCAAGGATGGTGCCCCTCGCCGCGCCTCCCTTGTGCTGCAGGAGGCATTGCTGGCCTACATCAACTTGGAGGGCAGTTTTGGCAAGCTGAGCGCCATAGCTGCAAGGGAGGCAGTGAAGAAAGGGGAGATGAGCATGGTGCAGTGGTGGTCGTGGCACAACACCGAGTACCCTGAGCTTGCCACCCTCGCATGCCGGATTCTCACTCAGCCCGTCTCGGCTTCTTCATGCGAACGTGGCTGGGCGCAGTGGGAAGGCGTCCACACCGCCCGCCGCAACCGCCTCGGGTCCGCCAAGTGTGCGGACCTGGTTTACATTGCGCACAACTGGAACGTTGTGCGCAATTGGTACAACAAGGATGGGGCCAGCACGGTTGTGCACGGGAACATCCCGGATGCCCCTATCCCCCGCGGCTACAACATGGACGAGGAGGAGGAGGATGACCTGCTGGGGGGGGAAGGAGATGATGCAGTGCTGGCGGATGAGTATGGGGAAGGGGTGGTGGTGGAAAAGCCCCGCAAGGAAATAGGCTGTGGGGAAGCTCGCTAGAGGGTGGGGATTATGTGGATGAACTATGTATTTCTGGATATTTATGAAATAAAATATTGACATGTGTTGTTGTCGGCCTGAACCCCCCCCCTGAAACAGGTTTTTGTATACCTGCCCGAGAAAAAAAGTTCTAGCTGCCCGCCAGCGTATTTTTGCGTATCAGCAGTACGCCAGCCTTGGCGTACCGCGTATATACCAAGCGTATAATACGCTAACGTATTATACTCGGTACTCTTATTTAGCAACGTAGCTCCCCATCCCCTCCGACCACGCGTGCTTCCCCCTCTTGCTGCTGCCCCGCCTCCTGCTGCTGGTCCTCATGCTCCCGCCCCTGCTCCTGCTCCTGCCTCCGCTCCTGCCTCCGCTCCTGCCTTCGCTCCTGCTCCCGAAATGTCCCATCTGCTTGCACCTCTCTCTGCCGCCTCCTCTCCTGCAGCCCCTGCTGCTGCGGTTCCTGTTCCCGCCACCCATCCGTTCCCCCCTCTCCCTGCCGCAGCCCTGCTTCCCCCCCCTCCCCCTGCCTCTGCCCCGCTTCTCCCCCCTCTCTCTGCCGCCGCCCGGCTTCCTCCCCCACCCCCTGCGACCGCCCCGTTTGCTCCCACTCTCGTAACCTCCTCCTCTCCTCGTAATCCTCATCATCAGTGGGCAACTCAAACCAGCAGATGGGGCAAGAGTTTCTCACAGCAAGCCACTGCGGAATGCACCCGCCGTGATACAAGTGCCGGCACGGCAGCCTCACCACCTCCTCCCCCACCTCTGCCACCTCCTTACACACCGAACAGCACGACGCGCCGCTCTCCACGTCCTCCAATCGCACGACGACAGCTGGCAGCGCGTCGACCGCGGAGAGAGCCGCCGGGGGGTTGCCGCGTTGTTGGGCGTCTGCCGCAACGAGCTGGTCGAGAAAAGCGTCTAAGCCAGGGCCGTCGAGATAGTCTCCTCGGTTACCAAAGTGGCCTCTGTTGCCAAAGACGATGGTTGTGGTTGTGACTCCGTCTGAATCCGTGGTGGCACCACCCGCGCCTGCGAAGCCAGCAGGTTTGGCAGCAGCAGGTCCGGCGCCCCAGTGTATCCGAGCCTCGAACCCAGCCCCGCCAAAGGCCAGCCCACCAGCACCACCACCACCACCAAAACCAGCACCAAACAAACCACCAACTCCATCACCACCACCGGCACCAGAACCAGCATCACCAGCACCAGCACCAGCACCAGTAGCACCAGCACCAGCACCAGCACCGGCACCGCCATCAGCACCAGCAGCAAGGCTACCATCAGCATTAACAAGCCGGCCGCGGCGAAGGCTGAACTCCACATGAACGGACGGCCCCACGAGCTCCTGCATCAGCTGCTGCAGGCGCCGCTCCAGCCCCACCTCCAGCCGCAGCAGCGCCTGCTGCTGGGCTGCTCTCAGTCGCCTCAGCAGCCCCGCTCCCCTATCTTCTGTGGGCCCGGCTACAAACGCCTGCGCCTCTGCCTCCCGCGCGTGCCTCTCGAGCGCTTCTCTCTCGAAGGCTTCTCTGTCAGGTGCTTCGCCTCGCTCCCTCTCGCCCTGCTGCACAGCAGGAGTTGCTCCCTCGACCTCCTGAAAAGGTCTCAGAAAGACCGGTGCTGCGCCCTCCAGCCGTGCCATTTCCGCCGCTTGTGCTGCGGATAACAGTCCTGACAACAAAGACGCAGACGATGCTGACGTGGATGATGACGATAACGACGCTGCTGCTGCTGATCCTGTTCCTGCAGCTGCAGCAGGGGCAGGAGATGATGACGTGGAGGATGCAGGAACCGCCCGCTGCATGTTGGCTCGTCCTGAAACCCCTCCCTCCATCCCCTCCCTCCCCTCAAGCCCCGTAACCTCACCTCTCAATCCAGTCCCCGCCACGCCCCCTCGCCTCACCCCTCGTCGTCCGCGTCTGCCCCGTCCGCTGTTAAAGCCAGACGCCAACCTCTCAACGCCCATGCAAAACAGCGGCACGCGCGCCCTCCCTCCCACATGCTCCTCCTCTTCATCACTCCATCCCCCCTCTCCTTCCTCCTCCTCCTCCTCCTCCTCCTCCTCCTCCTCCTCCTCCTCCTCCTCCTCCTCCCCATCCTCTTCTTCCTCGCCCTCCCTTTCCGCCTCATGCCCGTCGTCTTCCTCCGCCCCTTCAAGGCTAGACCATGAGCCTCCTATCTCCAGCAACAAACCCTCCAGTTGTCTTAAAGTGCTAAGAAAGTGATCCGCCGCCCAATTTCCGCGTTCCCTGCGGCCTGGGATTCGATTCTCTGCGTCCCTCTCCTCCACCTCGTACTCGCTATTGTCACTCTCGCTGTACTCGCTATTGTCGCTCTCTTCGTGCTCGTTGTAGTAACGGCCCCTGACGCCCGCGGTCTCATTCTCCCTCCGCCACCACCGTTCCTCTACCTCGTTTTCCTCGTCCTCGTCGTACTCGCCATGGTCACTCTCGCTAAGAGCACCACCATCGCTGCCGCTGGTAAGAGCTGGCAGCTCATCCTCGCTTGCTGCGGCTTCATTTTCATTCAGAGGCCTCGTTTCGGTCGCACCAGTTTCAGTCACAAGCGGTGACGTGCTCGTACGAGGCGATACAAGATCTGGCAGCTCACTTTCCTCAACTTCCGCTACCGCTTCCCCCGCTTCCGTCACACCCGCTAGCGTCGCCGTCGCTGCAGCATCATCGAACCACAATGCCTCTTCGACTTCCCGACCATTTTGACTTCGTGACCCATCCCCATCCTGACCCCCGTACCCATTCTCTCTTCCTTCATCCCCGCGACTATAATCCCCACCGCCTTGATCCCTAATTTCTTGATCCCCACCGTCTTGAATCTCGTTGTAATCACAATCTTCAAGGTCGCTGCAAAGGTCCGGCATATCGTCGTCGTCCTCCTCCTCGCCTTCAGTCGCTTGAATCCGAGGTCGCGCTTCAGTCACACCCGCTTCTGATGCTGCTGCAGCAGCTACTGATGCTGATGCTGCTTCTGATGTTGATGTCGATGCGAACGCTGTTGCTGCTTCCCAAGTATCACCTCGTTCAGGGTCAACCCCGTTACTATCACCTACGTTTTCATCACCACTTCTTCCACTGAAACGCCTCTCGCACCTTCCAGAAACTCGCTGAAAGCCGTCCATTCTTTCCCGAGAAAAATAACGCGACGAAGGAAGAGCTACTCGCCGACAAGTATGCCAATCTAGTGCCACCAGTTCTGTCAAACCGTTTCCTACGCAATCAATGTCAATAAGGCAACAGTTGCACGCGCTCGGAATGTTGCGAACGCTCACTTGACTAGTTGACGAAGGACATTAGGATGTAAACGCACTTTATCCAGATTATGACGAGGATACGTCGATTCTTTGTAGGTATGTTGATGGGATGTGAACTTGGAACGCACTCCTCGCAAAAGCCTACCAAACCGTACAATAACCGTTTTCATCCCTGTGATATGTACACCACCGTCTTAGAACGCTCTTGCTCACCTGACAAGCCAACGAATCTTGAATCTGGTTAGAAACACTAGACAGGTCACCGCACTGTAAGCCACAAGACCGCGTTAGCTTAGAAATAGACCTCACCTACCCATCCTTAGATTCCACAATTACCATTACTAAATTTGCATAACTTCCCCGAATCATGATGCTATATGATGTAAACCATATTATTCAACTATTCACCAATGTAGTTGAGAGATTAAAAGAACAAGAGTGCGCAATATTGAACACTAATTAATTTCTTATGAGCTTTATATTTTAGTTTATGATATAGGTAAAATACTTAACAATACAACATAAAGCAGTACCAATACATGTAATACTGATGTACGTACACCAGCAATTAGCTGTTTTTCAGATCACAAATGAGTCGTTTTCGGAAGACCGAATCTGCCCAACCCAATGTGATGCTGAGTCCCCGTTGGCTCACGCCAGCTCATCCTCACCATCGAGAATCTCATCCTGCCCGTTTTCGCTGCGATGGCGATCATCCAGGGCCCATGACAGCGTTCGTCGTAGCCTCAGATTCTTTCGCCACTGCCCTTCGCTTATCGTGCGACTGTCCGTGCATGACGCCCAGCGTGCGAATGCGGGCAGGACGGGCAGAGCGGATGGGTTGTTGTACAGTCCTGTCAGTGGCTTGGAGAGCGAAACCAAACCCTCGCCACTTCCTTTCGGCACGTCTCGCGGGAGTCCTTTGAAACCCTCGCCGCAAGTGCGAAACCCTCGCTTGCTGCTATCCACCTCTCGCCTATCCCTCTTTCAGACCCTCGCCAGCTCGTCTCGGACAGAATGAAACCCTCGCCAACCCATTTCTGCCCTCGCCAATCCATTTCTCCTTCGCCTAGTTCTTTGCCTCCCCTCTTTCCCAGTAATCCTTCATTTCGCCTTACTTGTCCCTTTCTTTCGCGTAATCTCTCGCGCGTTTCGCCCACCTTTCTCGCCCCAGCCAGCGAAGAAAAACTACCCTGGTTTTGGCTCTCCCCCCCTGCTCGCCCAGCCTGGCGTCGCTAAACTCAGCTATGGCGATTCGTTTCTCCCCAGAGGAGCTCAAAGGGGAGCTTCTCAGGGTGAGGCGTGAACTTGCTCATTTGGATACCCTTTTAGATCGGACCTTCAGGGACATAGAAGCTGCGAGTGAACATGGCGAGAGGGACGGCATGGAAGATGCGAGAAATGTGCGACAATGCCTGTGGAAGGATAAGGAGCAGCTGAGGTCACAAGAGACTATATTTCTGAGGCTTTTATTCGATCCAAATTCTGTTGGTGGAAATCCTGCGGAAAATGGAGCGCCGTCTGCGGGCGCTGGCTTCCCGCCTCAATACTCCGTTGATGGTAAGGCTTCTTTTCGTGAGCTTAGCTGACCTGTATATGTGTTGGCATCCAACTATTCTGTCTTAGATGTGTGCAATGCCATTATTATTCGCCACGTGGCGCTGATTATTGTTTCTGTTTTACATTTCTCTTGCGACAGGTTCGCCGATGCCGATTATGGGTCATGGAGATCCTTCGCGGATGCTCCACTCGGTATTTACACCACCGATGCTCGGAGTTAAGCCGGGAAAGATGAAGATGCGACGCAACAAGCTCGCTTCACCTGGCCTGCCATCGTCCATGTCTGACGGAAAGTCTCCATCTGGTTTTGAATCTGACTTCGCTAATCCGAATGGTTACGAAGTCAACCGGAGTGCGGAGTGCAAAGTTCGCGACGTCTGGCTCGAATGGAAGGAAGGGCTGAATGGTTTTCCGTCGATTGAGAAGCTTGAAGAAGAGAGGAAGAAGGACCGGAAGAAAGTCTGGTGGAAGAATATGAACGACTACAAATACTGGAGCAAGCAGGTCGGTACTGTCGTTTTGATCCTGAACCAGTAAACGTTGCGTAGTATTGCACTATCGCTGTTTACATCCTGACTTATTTTCCTTCCCTGATCCTGCAGATGAGGATTGTTCATGCTGTCGAAGAAAAGGCTCGCGAGCTTGGTGGGGATCTTGACTCCAGCATCAATTTCTGGGAAGACATTCTTCGCGAGGAATTCGACGGAAGCGTCTCGAAGCTTCGCGAAGCTTTAGGAGGCCAAAAGACAAACGAAGAAGACATTGGTCGTTTCAAGAAGCGATGCCGGGATTTGTTGCAAAAGGGTTTGCTTCGGATGGCTAAGAAGAGACAGATGACGCACCAGCAGTCTGATCCGCATCATGCGCACCAGCAACAAGCCTTGCATCAGCAGCAGCTGATGGAAATGCAGCAGCAGACGTTTACTCAAGCTGTTCAGGGCGACATGGTTCACATGGCAGGCATGGGTATGCCACACGATCCCAATGTCCTTCCGAAGCATGAAGCCCAGCACGAAGTTTCGCAGCAGCAGGTTCTGGAAGAAAACATGTTGCACGAAGCTGCTGCTGCTGCAGCAGCAGCAGCCGCGGCGCAGGGTCAGCTAGATAACAGCGTGCTGCTGATGCAGGAAGCGCATGGGCTGCAACAGATGTCAGGCGAAGGTCAGGCGGTGATGCAGGGCCATGGTGAGGAGCAGCTAGAAGACGCTCAGGAACAGCTGCATCAGCAGCAGCAACAGCAGCAGCAGCAAGAGCATTTGCGACAGATGCATGAAAACCAGCTTATTGCTGCGTCCATGCATGCTGCACAAGCAGGCCATGCTGAGGGGGAGGAGGAGCATGGGGTAGAGCAGCATGGGGAGGAGGGGGAGGAGCAGATGCATGGGGATCATGGAGAGGTGGAGGAGGGTGATGAGGAATTAGAAGGGGAAGGCAGAGGGGAAGAGGGGGAGGGGGAGGAGGAGCATGAGTGAGTGGTTGGGGATGGTGTGGTAGGTGCACTGCTGGTGCCTTACATGCCTACTCTACTATCTAGATGTTTTGTGCGCATTTTTTTTCTTAGAGCTGGTTTCATAGATGTGATTTGAAATCATGTCCAGGAAGTTGTAGGAATAAGTAATAGTACATCAATTGCTCCATACATTGTACAACCTCATACAAAACAGGTGTTCCTGTACCATTCAGTGCCCTTGACACATTAGAGCTAGAAATTTCATTTCCACCAACTGTACATCAGCCTACAGACAACTGGTATGGCGCTCCCTCGAGTGCTCCCCATACATCCACAATCCACGAGTGCTCTGTTGCTGCTCTGACAGCAACCGATGCAACAGCCGAGACAAGAACAGGAGGCACTAGAGCTGAGAGTGCTGTTCACTAACCTAGCGTGCCTCTTTCAAAATTCCCCACACATCCTTAATCCCCGCTGGGAACGAGTGTTCTGATGCTGCTCTGACTGCAACAGCGGCAACAGCTGTGACAGGAACAGGAGGCACTAGAGCTGGGCCGATCAGGGGCAGGTGAGAGAGGAAGGGCAAGTTCTTGAAGGCCTGAAGAGGAAAGGAATCAGGGACAGAGACGGGAGTGGGGCAAGGGGAGAGGAGAAATGAGAGTGTGAAAAGAGACAGTCGAGCGAACTCTTTGTCAGGCTCCGGGCCGGGGGGTTAATGAGACAGAATGGCTGGCAGCAAAAAAGTGTTGAGGCCTGGAAGCACTCTCACCAGTTCCAAGGGAGCTCCGATCAAGCCGAGAGGCAGCTGGTAGGTGCCAACGTTGCGAGTGCCATGAATCATGGCTGGTCGAAGAACAACTCCTGCGACGAAAGAGCCAGAAGAGAAAAGGGGGGAGGGTGTGGAGCCATGGGGGACAAGAGATCGGTAAGTGAAGAATTGGGAACGCTGCGAGTGCCGTGAATCATGGCTGGTCGGAGGGCAACCCCTGTGAAAGAAACGAAAGCGATGTTGGGGAGTTGGATATGTGGAGAGAGATGGAGACAATTGGGAATTAGACAGAAGTAAAGGAAGGACTACATCGAAGGTGCGTATAAAGAAAGAAAAGGGAGTACAACTGCAAGTGGGTGGAAGAGGGGCAAGGGTGTGCTAAAATGATATAAGATGAGCCACCAGCCAGGAGTGATGAGTCATAAGGCATGGGGTATGATGCATGAAGCATGAGGCATGACGCATGACGCATGGGGTATGATATGTTAAGCATGCGGCATGAGCAGGCACATACCTGTGTTGGGGTAACTTGCCATGACAGCTGCCTCTGCTGCTTTCTGAAGAAGCGGGGACAAGCGGAGGGAGGGAGGAACGAAGGGAGGGAGCGGGAAAGGCAAGTGCTTGCTGCATGTGCACAGCGGAATTGTTGATTAAAACTGGAATTTGCGCGGCAATGTTGTAGCAGCACTGTACATTTGCACCGTACATTTGCACTGTACATTTGCACCGTACATTTGCACTGTACATTTGCACTGTATATTTGCACTGTATATTTGCACCATACCTTGCCCTCGTAGTATCCCCTGAGAACGAAAGAAGGCAGACCCACGTCATGCGCAGAGATGAAGACAAACCTCGCCACCCCTGCCAGGGAAGGAAAAACCGGAATGATTAAAGAAGTGCCTAAATACTGGGTAGCCCCCACTTAGACAAAGATAGGGAAAGTGGGAACCAACAATCGCTCAGTTTTTACACCACTGGAGATATAACCATGTCTGATCTGAACCAATGCAAGACAAATGCCGCCTTCCCCACTAGCTGCCAGACCAGCCCACCTTCCTCTCTTGCTGCATTAACCACCCCCACGTTGGCATCTCCATTGATCCTCCTCATCCACTCATTCGAACCAAAAGCGCCCACACACGAGACCTGCCGACGATGCAAGAAGGAAAAAGAACAAGGAATGGAACAGGAGCGAGCTATTCTGTGTCACTTGTGACCAACATATGAACGGACAGAGGGGCCTACTTGTGTCCTGCCCCACCGCAACCCATACACCTGCGCTGCGGCCGGCCAGGAAACAAGGGTCACTACAGCTGCGATGCTACCCCACACACCCGCCGCCCATGCCCACTCACTCACTCACCACTCCCGTGATGTTGGTGTTGCTTTTAGAATTCTCAAAAGCAAAACCACAGTTTCCAGTTCCATTCCAACCCACACACCTGCGCTGCTGCGGCTACAAGGGCACAAGGGCCACTACACCTCTGGCCACTCACTCACCACCCCCGTGGCCCCTCGCAAGTGCTGCTTCCACGAAGAAGGGTTCAGGGCGTCGCCTGGATGGAAGAGAAGATAAAGAGGGGTGGAGAGGTGTGAGAAGCGGTGGTTAGAATCAGTAAGAACACTGGGTGAAAGGCATTGCATGACTAACAAGGGTCCAGAGGAGGATTGCAAAGGAGTAAAAGGGAAGAAAATTTGAAGGTGGGTAGCAACTGAGGTAGAATGGGTGTTGGAAATGAGATGCTCACCTTTGATCCACTCAACCTCCTTGATCCATGCTTCACTGCGATTGGGCTGACCTGATCTGACCCATGCACGCATGCATGTGCACATGCACACATGGCCGCACATGCACACGTAGCCGCACATGCACACACGCAGACAGCACGCATGCAAGCATTCACACGCGCACACACGCCCGCATGAATACAAAAATAAACAGACTCTGAGCCGAGAAATTGATTTTTGAGTCGACTCAAAAATCAACTGAGCCGACAAATAAAATTCAAACGAAAAAGAGAACGGAAACAAAAAACAGGAACACATACGCACGCACGCACGCACGCACGCACGCACGCACGCACGCACGCACGCTCGCACGCACGCACGCACGCACGCACGCACGCACGCACGCACGCACGCACGCACGCACGCACGCACGCACGCACGCTCGCACGCACGCACGCACGCACGCACGCACGCACGCACACACGCACGCACGCACGCACGCACGCACGCTCGCACGCACGCACACACACACACCAGGGTAAAACCAACCACCTCATCTCACATTCGTCTCATCGTTACAGTGCACACCCACCCCTCTCACTGAATCACACCAATTTTCACCAAATCCAACCCATTCTCACCGGTTCACACTCGCCACCTCTATCCCCTGACCAATGGCGTTGCGACAGATGGCGCTGCCCACAAAGCCGTTTCCACCCATCACCACAATCTGACGGACCAATCAGGGAATTACATGTAGGAGAGGTTGGAGTGGGTGAGGGGGAGGGAAGGAGCGGTTAAGGGATCACGGCGGGGGAGGGAAGGAGCGGTTAAGGGATCACGGCGGGGGAGGGAAGGAGCGGTTAAGGGATCACGGCGGGAGAGGGAAACCAGTCAAGTGGAGAGAATGCAGTGGGGAAGGCGGTTAGTGGGGAGGGGTGCACTGGTGATGGGGGGACAACGAAAGAGCTCAGCCAAGAAACCGCTTCTTGCCAGAAACGGATTCATTATCAAACACTATGGCTAGAAAGGATTTTAAAGAGCACTGCCTACCCGCGCCCGTTGCTCCGCGGTGCTTCTTTCCGCTTCCGACCCGCCCATATGTGCCGCGCGCGCGCTGCTTTCCCCGACGGCCTCCGCGGAACTGCCTTCTCCCGACGCCGCAGCTCCATGAAACTCGCGGTTTCCCGCCGCATCTGTGCTTATCGATGCGCCGCGGTCGGCGTCGTGAGACGCGCCGTGGTCAGCGCTGCGCGTGCTGATCGCACCGCCGGCCACGCCGATGGCTCGACAGAGCGATTGACTCGACGCTATCGGCTTGCACGAGCGAGCGGAAATTACAGCGAATGCCATGATCTTTCCTGCGAAACCGAGCTCGTTATGAAAAAAGGGAGGAGTATAGCAGTAGTTACTACTAATCCGCTAGACTAAGACTAGCACTCAACAATCACAACAGACTCTATTCGAGAGAATCCCGCGTTTGAAGATGAAACGTTGCTGGCAGGGAAGTAGCAGCCTTAGTAGGCTAGGAAAACGAGGATAGAGTGCTCTCTGGAGTTCTCTGGAAATTGCACTATGACTTCACAAATTTCACAGTACAATTTTATAGAGCTCATTCAAATATCGAGTCGCACTCCCAAGTCGCGACTCTCTCTGAATTTCTCAATGGTAACCCAACCCCTTTGAAATGAACCTGCCGTGAAATTCAGAGAATTATTGCGGTACGGGATTGGACGGCGAGCTTGGTTACGGGGCTGTAATTTCGTCGGTGTTGTTGGCGAAGTCGGCGAGCGGTCGGAACTTCGGTGTTCTGCGTTTCGTAATTTTCGCGCGAGGGTTTGTGTTGGGCTGCGCGTCAGGACCTGGTCGCCCAGCTGCAGGTTGAGGCGTTTGACCAATACGAACAGTTGGTAAGGTGGCGCTTGACTTCCGCCCACCTGCACTGTACTTGGCAGCATTCGGCTGCCACACTGTTACATTAATTCCCCCTCCAAGTGGCGCCGTCCACGGCGCCAAACCGTGGCTGGTCAAATACCGATTCACAGCAGTTGCGGCACGGTCAAGGTGGCTCTCTGGTTCCCATGAGTCGTCACTAGTGGGCTGGTCCTTCCAATGAACAAGAAACTCGCGACCATGAGGTGTGTCGCGATGTGCAGCGATAGATGCAACCTCAAACAGGCCGGGGCTGCCTTCGAACATCGGTGGCAGTTGGCGTGTGGCTGGACGGTCGTGTGAAGGTGCACGGAAAGGGCGGAGGCGCTGGACATGGAAGACGGGGTGAATCTTCATATAGCTGGGCAGTTGGAGACGGTAGGTGACTGGTGAGAGGACTCGGGTGATGGTGAACGGGCCAATAAAGCGAGGGGCGAGTTTTCTGGTTGTGCCTTTGCGTAGGAGAGGTAGGTGGTCAGTGGAGAGTAACGCTTGATCGCCGACCTTGAAGCGTATATCTTTGCGGTGGGAGTTGGCATAGTGGGTCTGTTTGGCTTGAGCTTTAAGGATGGAGGTGCGAGCGGCATCAATGGCTGATTCGAGTGAGGTGAGGAACTCAAAGGCTGCTGGTGCGTGGGAGAGGTGGGGGGGTGGGGTCGTGGGGAGGCGGGGGTGCTGTCCGGTTGCGAGGTAGAAGGGTGGCTGGCCGGTGGAAAGGTGGGGTGTGCTGTTGTATGCGAGTTCGATGGCGGTGAGGTGGAGATCCCAATCAGTTTGGCGAGCAGTAACTTGTGCACGGAGGGAGTCTTCAAGCGTGCGGTTCATCCGTTCGGTTTGTCCGTCCGTTTCAGGGTGATACGCGGTAGAAAACTTCAGCCGGGTTCCGTGAAGCTTGAAGAGGCTCTGCCAAAAGTTACTCAAGAAGCGGGGGTCACGGTCTGAAATGATGGCGGATGGGAGACCATGTAGGCGGACTATGTGATCGAAGAAGAGTCGGGCTGTTTCGGGTGCGGTGACGGTTGTGTGGGTAGGAATGAAGTGGCTCATTTTGGAGAGTCGGTCGACGACGACTAGGATAGCGTTGTAGCTGCGGGGTGTGCGGGGCAGATCCATGATGAAGTCCATGGTGACTTCATCCCACACTTTGGTAGGTGGAGGGATGGGCTGAAGGAGTCCGTAGCAGTTGGTGGTGCGTGCTTTGAGTTGTTGGCAGGTGCGGCAGGTGCGTATGAAGTCACGCACATCAGCATGCATGCGTGGCCAATGGTAGTCGTTGGAGAGGCGTGCGTAGGTCTTCTCAACACCAAAGTGGCTGCCGGTAACGGTGTCGTGGTATTCGGAGAGTAGCAGCTGTCGTAAGGAGCGATCTGCAGGGACACAAATGGTCTTGGTGACGGTGTTGTACCAAAATGAGTCTTCAAATGAGTAGGCCGGGTCCTCGGGTGCTTGCTTGACAAAAAACAGGTCACGTTTGTAGGCGCGCTGAAATTTCGTGATGAAGGTATCTTCCCAAGTGATGTTGCTGATTCCATGGAGTTGCAAGGGTGGGTTCGGAGTGTGAGGTGGAGGTGATGAGGTGGGGCTGGTTGGGGAGTGGTGGGGCTGGTTGGTGGTTGGTTTGGGCTGGTCGGTGGGTGGTGGGGCTGGTGGTGGTGGTCTGGACAAGATGTCGGCTGGGTTGAGTTTTCCGGGGCGGTAGATAATCTGAAGTGAGGGTACGAACTGCTCCAAAAACTCAGCCCATCGGGCTTGGCGGCGGCTGAGCACGGGCTGTGTTTTCAAGTGTTGAAGAGGGCGGTGGTCGGTGTAGACGGTGACGGGCTGCAGCTCCACGTAACAACGCCATGTCTTGATTGCGTGGACAATGGCAAGGAGCTCCCAATCGTGTGTTGCGTAGTTGCGCTCTGCCGGTTGAAGCTTGCGTGACTCGAAAGCGAGTGGCTGCATCCCATGGCCGTGGTCTTGGCAAAGAATGGCACCGACAGCGACATCGGAAGCATCGGTCCATATGAAGTATGGGCGTGAAGGGTCGGCGACGGTGAGGACCGGTGCAGAGGTGAGTGCTGATTTGATTGAGTTGAAAGCGGTCTGCTGCGGTAGTCCCCATTGAAAGGCAGCTCCTTGACGGAAGAGATCGGTCAAAGGGGCGCAGATGTGAGAGAAGTTGAAAATGAATTTCCGGTAATACTTGGCGAGGCCGATGAAACTTTGCAGCTCCGCTACCGTGCGTGGGGCTGGCCAATCAGCAAGGCACTGGACCTTTGCGGGGTCCATAGCAATGCCTTTGGAGCTGATGACATGGCCGAGAAAGCCGATGCTTGAACGGGCGAAGGTGCACTTGGAGAGCTTGGCGTAGAGGCGGTGTTGGCGAAGCGTGTCGAGGACGATGCGTAGGTGCTGAGCGTGTTCCTCGAGTGACTTGCTGAAAATGAGGATGTCATCGAGGAACACGACGACAAAGCGGTCGAGGAAGGGCCGAAAAATGTCGTTCATGAGTCCCATGAACGTGGCTGGTGCGTTGGTGAGGCCGAACGGAAGTACGCAGAACTCGAAGTGGCTGTAGCGGGTTCGAAACGCCGTCTTGTTGATGTCGTCTTCGGCGAGCCGGATCTGGTGGTAACCGGAGCGTAGGTCGAGCTTGCTGAAAACTGTTGCTTCCCCAAGCATGTCGAACAACTCCTCGACACGGGGCAGCGGGTACTTATTCTTGATTGTGATGGCGTTGAGGGCGCGGTAGTCGATGCAAAGGCGCAGGTCACCTTCCTTCTTGCGGGTGAAAAGCACGGGGGCAGCGTATGGTGAGGTGCTTGGGCGGATGAAACCCTTCTCGAGAAGGTCATCGAGTTGACGTCGGAGCTCCAAAAGTTCAGCGGTGCTCATGCGATAGGTTGGGCGCACGGGCGGTGTAGAACCTGGAATGAGGCGGATGCTATGGTCAATAGCACGCTCGGGTGGAAGTTCGGCGGGAAGATCTTCGGGGAAGACGTCGGTGTAGCCTTGGAGTAACTTCTGTATAGGTGATGGGAGAGAGTTGGGTGATGGTTCAGATTCGGGAGCGGTGAAGATGACTAGGAGATGATGAGGAGGAGGTGGTGATGGAGGGGTGGGGGCTGATGGATTGATAACTTCAGAGGCGGGGCGGATGATGGGACGTCGTGGCTGCTGGGTTGGGTGGGGTGGAGAAGGAGGAGGTGTGTTGATCACTTCGGGGGAGCCGGGTGGTGTTGGCTGCTGCACGGGAGCTATGCGAGGAGGAGGGAGAGGGGGGATATGGGAAGATGGAGATGGGGCAGGTTGGGGTGGATGGGTTGATGAAGCGGAACTGGTTGGGGATGACCATGGTCGGCGAAAGGAGTGGGATGGGAGGTCGTAGTTGCCGACGGTGACAGTTCCGTTGCGCCAATAAATCCGCGGTCCAAACTGGTGCAACCATGGTCGACCGATAACGCCTTCGTACCCGCCGAGGTGCAGTTGCTCGAACGTGACCGTCGCCTCCAAGCTTCCAAACATGCAATGCACAGGGAGGAGAGTAGGTCCGCAGCGCCGCCGAGTACCATCTGCCATGGTCACGTCCTGCGGGTTGCTGTTGGGATCTTCGGGGAGAGAAAGTTCAGCAGCAATTGAGGGAGAGAGGAAATTTGCTGAAGCGCCGGTATCGAGCAAAAAGTCAACGTAGCGATTCTTTATTTTTGCGTATAGAATGATGGCGGGGAATAGAGCGTTGGATGTGGTGTAGAGTTCAGGGGTGCCGATGAATAATGGGGTCGGGAGAAGCGGGGCATGCGATGCGCCAGAGGTCTGCCCCACTGCTACTGGCGCTGTCCGTTTCCCGGAGACCTTTCGAAGTTGCGGCGGTTCGGGCAATGTCGCTTGATGTGGCCGACTTTCCCGCACGAGTAGCACGTAAGCGTGGACTGGTTGCGTGCACGCTGTTCCACCACACCGAGCTCCATGGGAGAAGGACCGTTGGTGCGGTAGGTAGGTCCAGCAGTGGTGTGCTGCCCGGTTCGTCCTTGGAATCGCTGGTATGCTGCAAAGTTGATGGTGTCAAAACGCTCGACGACACGAATCATCTCATCCAACGTCGTAGCGCCGCGGAGTTCGACCTCGGTGCGGATTTTCGGCTTCAGCCCACGCTTGAATTTGTCCATCTGTTCAGCAGCAGGGATGTCAGGGATCTCAAGCACGAGCTCGCGGAAGCGGTTGATGTACTCAGCGACTGAGCGATGTTGGCGTAATTCAGCGAGGTTGTCACGTGCGCGCTCGATGGAGTTGACCGGCTCGAAGTTCATTAATAGCGATGCAGAAAACTCTTCCCAAGTTGAAATCGTAGCATGGCAACTCTGCCACCAAGTAGCAGCTGCACCCCTCAGCATCATGCCGGCGTGCCGAGCCCACTCCGCCCGGTTGACATGACAAAG